TTAATCAAAAATAAACCATAGTTAAGTTATAAATTATATGTAATTACACTGATTATTTAAGTTAATAAATTTTTAATTAACTAAAGAAATTGTTTAAATTGACCATTAATATAACACTCATATATTATTGTTTTATGTTCTCCAAAGTAATAATTTTGTTCTACCAATTTTTGAATTATTCAACATGATCCAAATTTTCATTACAAGTTAAATTCAATTCAAGAGTAAAATAAAGGAGAAATAGTAAATCAGATATCATTTTTATTAAAACTTATATAAACTTTACTGCAAATATTTAATAATTTTGTAAGAAATTCAATTAATGTTAGAAACAATAATTTTTGAAGCTGATCTATTTCTGAGAAGGAAGTAATAGCTGCAACAATAATTTTAAATTACTATTTCGGAAAAATTTAAACATTTTAAATAAAAAATTTATGTACCCGGCGAATATGTACTCCGTCTTATAACTATACAAATTAATGTATTATAATCTTCGTTAGGGCTATAATTTATAGTCTTAACATAATGAATGATTTTGTTCACAATACCTCTATAAAGTTTTCTTAATAACATTGCAAAAACAGACAAAACTAAAAAATTTAAAAATAGAAGTAAAAACAAATAAAGTTATTTTTGAAAATAATTAAATTAGAAAGAAATTAATTATAATTAAAAATTTTTAGTATGAAATCTCTAAAATTCCTGTAATTATTTTCAATAAAATTTATTTAATCTTTGGAGTAAGATAACTTTTAAAAAGTTATATAATATTATTGTAGGCCTTAATTTTCAAAAATTTTTGTTTTAATTAAGGGTGTTATCTTTAAATTATTTCTTTTTTTAAGTTTTCCTCTTGCTCAAAATTTAAATTTAATTCAATAAAAATCGTATAATAATAAACTGAATATAAAAATAAATATTGTAGACTTTTTAGGAATAAATTAAAGTTTACATAATGTACGAACTACAAAATTTTACCGAGTATAATATAACAGAAAAAAAAAATTAAAATCCCACATTCATAGTCGCATAATATCAAAATTTTTATTTGAAACTCTTTATTATCTATAGTTTAAAATTTATGGTAAATTTTTATTATGAATCATCATAAGTTACGTTTCACAAATTAATCATAATAATTTAAAAAAATATAACAGATAATACAAAAGAAAACTGGTATATTTTATAATTTCAAGTTTTCTTTTTTTTCAAAAATATAATTTTACTAAATAATCTACACACAGATATAAAATTTGTAGCAAAATTACAATAATTAAAGCAAAGCTATTATTTTTATGCTATATGGTGATAATTGTTTTCAAGATAAATTTTGAGAAATAAAATAAAGTTGAAGCAATCCAATGATTTGTAAAGTAGCACTTTTCCCTTGAATAAATGAGAATATTGATTTTAAAAAATAATATTACTTTCACTCATTTACAAAAATATATAAAACAATTGCATACATTTAGGGTGCGTAAAAAGAAAAATTTTAAGATTCATTGACATTATAGTCAAATTCGACTGGTAAAGTATAAGTGAGTTAAGATGAATGCATAATGATAATTTTTGATGGCATAGCATTTCCTGTTAGCGTTTTGTTTTTAGAGAAATTAGGAAAAATTTAATGTTCCGGAAGCATAAGAAGGCGAAAATTTATACTCACTTATTTTTATCTCTCTTTTAATTTTACAAAATAAATTATTTATTTTCTAACAAGAAAAATAATATTTGAAAAAAAAATAGTTTTAGATAACGGTTAATTTCAAGAGCCATTTTGTCATATTAATGAGTGAAAAAGCCATTTTAATATAGAAAAAGCCAATAGCGACGGCGGACGGTAGGCGGAATTTATCTACAGTATTGTTCTGTTCCAATAAGTAGCCAAGACATGGCATTTATAAGATTTTTAGAATGGTTCGAGATGGCTTAAAAATTTTCCGACAGACAGACAGAAATAGCACTTTTTCCCCTCTTTTTTTTTGGAAAAGTGCTAATAAAATAAAAGACATCTAAATTGAAATTTTATTAATATAATTTGAGCACATATGCGATAAAATATTGTGGAATTAAATTTAAAAAAAAAAAACCCAAATCAATTAAAAAATAACATTATGTGCTTATGTAATATAAATTTTTTTTTCCAAAAACTAAATCTTAAATTTGAATTTAAATAACACATCATAAACATGATTTCGAGTTGATAATTTTTCCATAACAATTAACATAGATAATAACCATTATACCAAGACTAGAAATATTGTTCATAATTTGCAGAATCGTTTACAATAAAATCTTTACACAGTTTGAACAAAATTTGTACAATCTATTATATTTTGCAATAATTTTATCTTATATAAAGAAAATTATATAGTAATAATAATCAAATATAAAGATTACCGTAATTGCTACAAATTAAATGTTCATTTTAAATAAAAACTTAGATAAACTTCATATTTTAACATCAAAAGCAAAACTAAATTGCTGCCTAAATTGGATTTTATGTTGAAAGGAAATGTGTGAGATTAAGAATTTAAATACTAAGTATAATGCAATTAAATCAAGTCAAAAATAATATGGAAAATTGTTAAATGTGAAGCAATACGAAGCGTTCCTTTACTTAAAAACGTAAATGCAACTTTTTTTTGCAATATTCGAACAAAAGACTTAGACAGAAAACATTCAATAAAAAATTCAACTCAATTATGTACGTACAAAATCAGGTCTTTTTTTCTCTCCGTTCTTATATTTTTTTTTTGAAGAAAATAAAAAGTTTTTTTCTAATTTTATATATTACGTATAATTCGCCACATATACAGCCCGTTGTCTCAAAATTTATCGAAAACTCCAAAAATTTCCCCCTACATTATGTCGTCAATCAGTTCTGTGGAAAATTTCTAATTCATACTTTTCCTCTTCAATTTTAAAGAGAATTTGAATCGTTTTCAACTATTTCTTAACTTTCATTTTGGTTTCATGATTCAATATTCTTCAAAAATAGTGTGTTCGCCATTTTATTCTCTATTCATCTATAAGGAAAAAATTAATATTATGACATCTATTGTATAATCAGTTGAATGTCCTAGAAATTAGCCATAACCTATAAAATTCAGTCTCACCTCTTTTTTGTAATTCAATATTTTTCTTCATTGTCTTTAACAAAAATTAAAATTTTCCTGGTTTAATCAGTGCTGCCGTTTAGTTTTTTTTTTAGTTTCTTAAATATTTTTTGAATTAAAGTAAAATAATGGCATAACAAAATGCAATATTTTAACATGTAATTTATTTTAAAATCCGATTCTTCCAAGTAAAAAAAAAACCAGTTTAAAAGCGCAAATTTTCGCAAAATTAAAAACTATTATGTAAATAGAAAAATGATTTTATATATAAGGAAAAATCTATGACCTAAAAAAATCATTTTACTTACGATATCATAACTCATTTACAATCAACCATTAACCATAGAAGTCGGAAGCAAAAAAGCTCTTACTGATTTCAAAATTACATATATGTAAACATAAGCTTTAAAAATTACAGCTTAATTACAACAAAAACATTCATGTATGATTGTATGTATGTAAATCTACATATGTATATATACTCAATGCATTGTTGTTAAATAAAAATCTTTAATGTAAAATTTAAAACTACTTTTAATTGAAATAAACAAAGAGTATATGAAAACAAGTTTGAATTTAAATACTACAGAAATTGATAATGATTGAATTGATATATGCAATTACATAATTACTTAATGTTTGACTTTCATTAACAAGATATATTCATAAATACACATACATAATTATGTACAAGCATAGGAGTCCATATTGAAATGTTAAAGCATTATAAGTAAAAATGTTTTATGTTTCATCTTGAATTTTTTCTATGTTAATGTTATTTTAAGTGATTAATTCGTTGTTGTGGCACATTTTTATGTATTTACTTATCAGTTTTATTCTTCTTTATTTAAACAAAATAACTGAAACAAACTTGAATTTTCTGTGATAACTTTTAATTAAAAAACTCACTTGCATTTCACTTGATTATATGTTTTATATGATGAAGACATAATATGACCAAACTAAAGGGGCAAAGCAATAATTGAAAAATTTTACATTTATTTTAAAAGAAGATAAAAGCAAAACAAAATAAACATTTTAAAATTACAAAATTTTTAATGGAAACAAAGACCTTGTTAAAAATCAAAAATAAAATCAAAACAAATTTGACAACTTTTTCATTCCTTCATAATGAATAAACTTTTTCAAAAAATAATTTTTTGGGGGAAAATAAAAACCAACAATAAAAAATTTTTCATATTTTTTTCCAACCCAAAATTAATTTTCATATTATTTTGTTAAGCCGGATATTATGAAACTTCTTTCAATTACAAAAACTTACAAAAGATGAATAACGAGTATTTTGTAGTCATAAAGGCATAAGATATAATAAACAAACACAATTGAACTTCTTTAATTCAACCCACAGAAACCGGTTTTAATATTGGGTATAAATTCGAAAAAGAGAAAGTTCGAACATGAAAAATAAGTGAATGTTAGGCTAATCAAAATAAGTTTATTAAATATGAATTTTGGTTTACAGTCAAGTTTCTTTTACTTGAACCTAGAGAGTTCAAGTAAAAGAAACTTGACTGTATTTATTGCATATTATTTTATATCTAAATTTGGGAAGATTTCAATTTGAGAAAAAGAAATTTTGAAAACGAAAGCCCTTTATTAATATGCCCTTGTTTTCATTTAAGAGGTAGATAAAATTTTTCCATTAAAAATTTATTAAATATTTTAAAGGATAATTAAATAGAAAAATCTCTAATATAAAATAATTAATTCAAAGATTAAAATTTTGACATTTACCAAAATTTAGGAAACTCTTTTTATGATAAACGGCTAACTATCACATTATTTAATTAGATGTTCTACATATAATATAAATATTCAAACTCATTTCGAAAAATTTTTCATGATTTTTTTTTTCAGATGACTCTCGTTCAACCAACTCCAGATATGCGAGTATCAATTCGTGAAGAACTTCGTGAACCAGAAAATCCTGAAGATATTGAAAAAGATGTTAAATTAATTCGAGAATGGTTGGAAACTCAACCACATTTACCAAAGGATATGGATGATGCTCGTTTAAGAACATTTTTACGTGGCTGTAAATTTAGTTTAGAAAAATGTAAAAGAAAACTTGATATGTATTATACGATGAGAAATGCTGTACCCGAATTCTTTTCAAATCGTGATATTAAACGTCCTGAATTACAATTGGTATGCGAATATGTGTAAGTACATTAATTATTTCTCTTATATACTCTTATACATAAAATATATATATATATATATATATATTTTGGGTTTTAGACATGGACCACCATTACCAGGACTTACACCAAATGGACGTCGTGTAACATTGATACGTGCTATTGATCATGAATTTCAACCACATCAAGTTAATGATGCAATGAAAGTTGCCCTTATGGTGGGTGATATACGTTTAGCTGAAGAAAGTGTTGGTATCGCCGGTGATATATATATATTAGATGCAGCTGTTGCAACACCAGCTCATTTTGCTAAATTTTCACCAGCTGTAGTAAAAAAATTTTTAATTTGTGTTCAAGAAGCATATCCTGTTAAATTAAAAGAAGTTCATGTTATTAATGTTTCACCATTGGTTGACACTATTTTAAATTTTGTAAAACCATTTTTAAAAGAAAAAATACGTAATCGTATTCATTTACATACAACAATGGAAAGTTTATATAAAATGGTACCAAGAAAACTTTTACCAACTGAATATGGTGGTGAAGCTGGTAGTATTATTGATATTGGTAAAGAATGGGTAAAAAAATTAGATGATTATACAGAATGGTTTGCAGAACAAGAAAATTCTAAAGCAAATGAATCTTTAAGACCTGGTGCACCAAAAACATCTGATGATCTCTTTGGTATGGAGGGTACATTCAGACAATTGTCCATTGATTAAAAAACATTTTACATTTTGAAATTTCTAATGAAAAAAACAAAATATAATTTCGATTTTTTTTCGAAATTAATTTCGATCTTATATAATATTATTAATTTTTTTTCTTATATTTAATTTTCATTCAGAGTTATACGATTTTTTTTCGCGTTTTAAGAATAATTCTTTTTTATTACTATTTTATATTAAAGTGGATTTTAGTATTTTGTTTGTTGTCGTTTTTATGTAAGCGCAACAATATTATTTTATTGTATATTAATTTTTAAAAATTAATTTTAATTTTATAATTACTTAAATATTTTTTGTAAATACTCATTCTAAATTTATATTTTCATATTTTTTTTTTGTATATTATGGTTCTGAAAATAAGGAATATTATTGTTTTTTCTTCACAAGAAATTTCACAAGAAACTTAGGCACATTATTTTTGTATCGCAGCACATTTGGCTCATAAACTATTTAAAAAAAGTTGTTTAAAACTAAATTATTTCATAAATATTTGATAAAATTTATAAAGGAAAGAAAAAACAGAAATAATAAAGAAAATATTCGAAAAATTTATAGTTTTAATTTTTAAGCGCATGTAAGATTTTATAAGGCATGTCATAGTATTCCTTAAAAAAAATAAATTCTTATATATGAAATAGAAAATTGTTTTATTCAGTTATTGGAATTGGTTTTTGCTGATTTAATATCAAACAGCACGAGAAAAGTGAACCGTAATTGTCATACCGTAATCGAAAATCACATTTTCAAGTTGACAACAAAATAAGACTAATCAAAAATACATCAGGCATTGATGTTATTTAATTGAATAATTTTAAACGTCTTAAAATTTTAACAATGATTGAATTAAATAATGTGAAATAAAAGTTATAAAATTTCCAAATGGACTAACGAATACATTTTATTTACAGTGTAGGTAATTAAATTTGAATCGTCTTTTCAAATTTTCTTTGCCGTTATTGTAGTCTTTGTACTAAATTTGTTTCCGTTATGATTCACAATTATCAAATGGAAACAAGTATGATATGAAGTAACTTTGAAGTATTTGAACGCCGTGGTTTTTGTTAAAAATTATTATAAAAAGCAAACGCAATTGAATACTTAAATTAATTCAAATTTGAACACCCTTTGGCCGAAATGACTTCCACGATGCTATTATGCTATTAACCTATAATTTTTTTTTTATTACTTAGAATATTATATTTGAAAACTTATTATATTATAATTGCAATATAGTAAATTGCCGTAAATAAATAAATTTTACTTAATAATTGAGGGCGTAAAGATCTCTTTTATCCAATCATAAACTCAAATAGGAAATTGAACAGCTGACATTTTCAAAATACTCGTATTACCAGACCAATGTTAAAATATTAGCATTAAAGTTTACTATGATTGCTTTTTAATTGCGTTTTCAAAAAAAAATCAAATCAATATTAATATCGTAAGTTTGCTAACAGTTTTATATTAGGTATTTTTATTTATTTCTTTTGCAAAAATCATAAAAAGAGATAAAATTTAAAATTTGAGAAAATATAGAGAGAATATTTAAAATTTTGAATTAATTCTCCAATATATTTACAGCCTTAATAGCTATAACAGCCTCAATGTGTTACTCATTGCAGTTACTAAAAAATTAAGATACAGAATGTCCTTTTATTTTGGAAGATAAGAAGTTTACTTGTTATTTACAATTTTACGCTGAAAAAGACTCCATAGTAAAAATGATTTTGTTCATGGTAAACAGCTATAGGTATTGTAAATGGTTACAAGAATAAACCTCCTTCTCATATATTACAATAATACAAAATTAATAATACAAAAATAAATAATATAAAATTTACAATTTCCTATTCAATTTCATAATAATTGTATTATTTTTTATAAATTTGTACATCAATTCAAAAATTCAAATACAGTTTTAGAATTTATGTAATAACAAAAGAAAGTTAGAAGAATAAGAAGAATCGACAGACAATAGTAAAAATACAAACTATTTCTTTAAGGAAAATGCATATATCCTTTTTAAATGCAATTAAAGTTAAGCAACTCTACAATCCTTGCATACAATTAACACATTTCTAATGAATTTGGTAGCCATATTCTAATTATTCTATTTAATATTAATTTATCTTTAAGGTTTGCAAATATATATAAAAAAGGAACTCTATAAAATTTTCGCAACAGTTTCAATTCAAATAACCATTATGGATGACACAAATAAAAATATATTTGAATTTCATGAAATTATTTTTAAATTAAATGGAATTTTACCATTTACATTGAAAAACAGTAAAACAATAATTGGAAAAAATTTTGAATTAATTTTCAAGATATTTGATTATTTTTTAACAATTAACATTATTCTTTTAACAATTTTATATTTTATTACAACTTTTATTAATTATAATTATAATTTAGAAAAATTTTGTGATTCATTGTGTGGTACAATTATTTATACATATAGTATTATACAAAATCTATGGTATAAATACAATTCCGAAAATTTTCAATATATTTTATTACTTGTAAGAAAAAAATATTTAAGTGAATCAGCTCCAGGAATAACAAAAGTTAAAGCAGATTTATCATTACAAAAATGCAATATATTTTTAAAAAATTGGGCTTTTTTTGGATTTTTTGCTGTAATATTTTTTACAGTAGCAGAACCACTATTTACAGGAGAATTAAGATTACATATTTGGTATCCATTCGATGTCAAGGTTATTTAAATAATGAAAGAAAATACTAAACGCAAATAATTATTTTGAACTACAATAAATAATAAAAAATTTTAAAAAATTTTGAAAATTAAAGAATTTGTTTGGACAATTTTACACCTTTGGTGTAGAATACTAAATTGAATTTTTCAAATTTTTTTTCTTCATTCTTTGTGTTATAAAAAATAAATTATAAAATATGTATAAAGTATTATTTAATAATTGTCATGTATTTCTTAACATTTGCAGAAACCTATCATTTACGAGATAGTTTTCATATCTCAATTACTGGGACAGGCGAAGGCTGCCTGTACTTACACAATGGTAAGTGGGTTTTATTGCAGTACAATCATTTTTATTTGTGGACAATATGATATTCTTTTTTGCAATTTGAAAAATCTCGTCGCAACAGCTGTTATCAACTCAAAATCTGATCCATCGTTATTAAGGTATGAGTGGGTATATTTACTTTAAAAAATTATTTTTTTTTTTCATAAAAATACTATTTTATAATTATTAGAATTTTGGTAAATTTAAATAAAGTAACAGAAGATGAACCACAACAGTATTGTTATTCGGTTGAAGAAGAGAAGAACTTTCCAAAATTAAATGATTCTGAGAAGGATATTGTTGCATATAAACCAACAGTGAGATTTTGTGAAGAATTAAAAAAAGCAACAAAGCATTGCGTGATTCACCATAATTTTATTTTGAAACTGTTCAGATGTTTAGAAAACATTAATTATCCTTGTTTGCTTATAAAATTAGGAGCAATTCTTTTTCAATATTGTCTACTTGGATTTGTTACAGTAAAAGTAAATGTTTTTTTTTATTAAATAAAATTTAGTTTAAAATACGTTATTAATTTTAAACTTCATACCTAATCAGAGTTCTGAACAACATCGATCAGTCGTTGAAATTTTATCATTCGCTAATTATTTCTTTCTTACCAATTTGGATTTATTCTTTTTTACATACTATGGCGAACTATTATCAAGCCAAAGCACTAAAATACCAAAGGCAATTGCAAGATTAACATGGTATTATGGTATGCAAATAATAAAAACTGATATATTAATAATTTTACAAAATTGCCAAAAAACGATTACATTTACTGGAGGAAAAATTTTTCCATTAAATATTGAAAGACTTCGAACAGTAAGTTAGATTTCTATAACAAAAACAATAAACTAATGCAGTTATTATATTTAAGGTTATCACAACTGCGTTTTCTTACATAACGATATTGCAGGCACTTGACGAACGTAATGCGAATAATTTAAATTAAAAAGCATAGCAGTTTTTTAAAATAAATTATACATATTTCTTATTTGTTCTTGCGAAAATTATATTGAAAGGAAGACACACAAAAAGGCAAATAATTAAAGTAATATTGTAGGCACCTCAAAATATCAATTTATCGTATTGTAGGCACAAACAATTCTTGTATGTTATAAGCACATATTTTGAGTACCATTTATCTTTAGTATGTTACATATGAATACATGAACTTTATTTAACTAAATTAAATAAAATGTTAAAAAAAATATATTTAAAATAAAGTTTAAAAATTTTTTGGTCTTTTATTTAACTGTTTATCTTAGATTTAATAATAACCAAAAAAAAATTAATATAAATTTGCGTTTGGGCAATTATTCTGCATTTTTTTTGTAATAAAATTTTCCACTAACTTTATTATGCTGCAACCTTTTAAATTTTATTTCACTAGTTTAACTAATTCTTATCCTTTCATAATTAGAAATTTCATTGTAATAGTAGAATTTAATAATTTTGAACAGTTCTCTATAAAGAGAAACTTATTTCTTTGAAAAATAAAAAAAAAAACACGATTTCGATTATCTGAAAAAAGATATTTTGTCTATTAATAACGCTCTGAATTTTGAAATTTTAAATTTACGATTATATCCTATTTTACTTATGCAGTATGATTAAAAAATAAATTAACGAAAATTTTTTGATAAGAATTTAATTAGCATTTTTTATTAATAAATTCCTTTAATAATATATCATTAAAGCAAAATGTTTACAAAACATATAAAAATTTTCTTAAAATAAAAGAATTTCAAAAACTGGTCTAATTCAAAAATCTATTTTTAATTATTTTTTTGCTTTTACATAGCACTGAAATGCTTTTCGAGATATATTCTAATTCAGAGCAATCTAAAAAAAAAAAAAACATTTTTTTGGAAAATTATTCCTAAAATTTTAAATCGTATCTTCTTACCTTAATTAAGATTTGTAATTCATCTGTGATAAAAAAATTCAATTTAATTTTATTAAAAGTATAGAAATTTTTAACCAAAAAAGACAGAAAATCAATATTTTCATCAAATTTTTTATATAAAAGTTGAAATCAACTATTTTTATTTTTTACTTTCATTTCTTTTCATTTTCATTTATATATATTTTTGTTTTACATGTGTATATACATATATTTGTTTTACACACTTTTTATTTTATTTAATTTTTTTTTTAATTGTTTTTTCGTTATATATCTATATATGCATAAAATTTCCTACGTTAATTATATATTAATTAAATAAATACATTCATACTATATACGTATGTTATGTAAACTATGACAAATTTAAAAATTAATTTTTTGTAAATAATTTACAATAGTAAAAAAAAAAAAATTAAAGGAAAAATTTTAATCTCAAACATTGCTTACAAAATATTCAAAATAATGCTTGTGTTTATATTTAAATAGTTTTTAAGTTACATAAACTGTAAAATTTCAAATTTCAAAAAAGAAAAAATTAAACTTCCCATATTTCTTGTAATTATAATAAAAATGTCATTTAGTTCGATGTTATTATAAAGATATTGTAGCACTTAAATTACTAATATTGATTGTAATTATTAAAATAATAAAAAATTCTTCAAATTTCGAATTGAAAAAATCTTTTTCAAATAAAATGTTTTAACATCTTAAAACCGAAAATTTCAAGTCAAGTTTCGGATTTGACGATTATTTGATTTTTTTTTATAAATTCCCGTAAACTTTCTTTATAGCTTTTAATTTTATTCTAATTTAAAAAAAAAGAAATTAACTTATTATTTTCAGGGTAGTAAGCATTTATATTTACGTTATTTTCCAATTAAATAATTTTAATGATAACACATTAATGTATACATCTTATAGTTTAATAACTCTATAATTTACAATAAGTGAATATATTTCAAAGCAAAATAATTATTCAATAAATATATATGATACCTGAAGAGAATTCTATGTTTACAGGGTTTAAATGATAAGCATTAATATTGCTCACAAAAATTTACAAGTCCAATGCGACACTAAAAATTTTATTAGAAATTGATTTGGCAGTGCAAATGATGAAAAATTAATAAATTTATTGTTGTATATATTGTTTATAGCATAAAATATTTTGTCTATTAATAACTTGACTAAAAACTTATTGCCGTTTGCTTATTAAATTAATCAAAATTTTTAGTTTTAAGCTATTGTTTATCCAACTATTTATCTAAATTATTTTAATCTATTTTAATCTTTTTTTTTTATTATTTTTTCACTATTAAAAATTGATTCTATTTTTTATTAAATTTACATATCAAATTTTACTTTTGTATAATGATTTTCGATATCTTTTAAATTTATTATCACTTTAAATTTTAAAAAAATTTTTCAAATTTCGTTTGTAATAATGGCACTTATATAAATTTAATAGCTATGTTTTTATATATTAATTCTATTATTGTTTATTATAATCCTTTATTTTAACTTCACGTTCATATTTTCGCTTTAACCTTTTAATTTAATTTTTTTTTTTCGGAATAAAACTACAAATGCATACATACATATTTAAATACAAAAGGGCATAATTAATAGTAAAATGAAAGATACGGAAATATTAAATTTCATTTTACTCGTTTTGTGAAATGAATCCAATAAATATAGTTAAAATGAATCTTTATTATATAATATGTGTAAACCATTTAATGAATTATTTTGTTATTTGAAAAACCAAAATAATTTTTTTTTGCCCTGTAGATAATTTTGTTTAAAATATCATATAGTTATAAAAATAAAATTTCTTAAGTAAAGTAATTCAAAATTTCTTATTCTTAACGACATTACATTAGATTTTTAATTGATATAAAATAAAATAAGTAGCATATTTTACTTATAATAATTAGCTATATACATTTCAGTCAAACTAATTATTTCATTATGGTTTTCTTGTATAATGAATACTGTTTTCTTGCAAACTGCTACTTTGAAAGACCTAATATGAACCATACGAACAATTTTTTATTCATAAAATTTCCTACGTTAATTATATATTAATTAAATAAATACATTCATACTATATACGTATGTTATGTAAACTATGACAAATTTAAAAATTAATTTTTTGTAAATAATTTACAATAGTAAAAAAAAAAAATTAAAGAAAAAATTTTAATCTCAAACATTGCTTACAAAATATTCAAAATAATGCTTGTGTTTATATTTAAATAGTTTTTAAGTATATATAATAATTAGCTATATACATTTCAGTCAAACTAATTATTTCATTATGGTTTTCTTGTATAATGAATACTGTTTTCTTGCAAACTGCTACTTTGAAAGACCTAATATGAACCATACGAACAATTTTTTAAAAATTAAAGATTAACATCGAGTTGATGAAATATATGATACTTTATATTTTACATAAACAATCTAAACATTATGATCATATTGTGTTATGTTTCAGCATGGAAATTTTTTGTTCATGTCAAACAAATTTAGAAATAAATTCAATATTATAAAACCTTAACCAAAACATAATTTATTTTGAAATAAGATTACAATTTTTCAAATAATTAATAAGTACATAATAATCTCCAAAATGTTATATACGTAAAAAGAATAATTAGGAAAATTATTCCTAATTTATACAGTAAAAAATTTTGTTTTGAAGCTTGAAAATTCCTTAAACAGTGTTGTATTCTTAACATTACAACAAAGTGATAAAAACGTATTTATAGACATGTACGTTTTTAAAATAAAATGCATTGTAACTTCGAATCAAATTTTATAGCTTCTTATCTTTAAGTAAATAAATCCATTATTATAATATATATAGACATATAAATAAGAAACCTAAAAGAAAATATAAGACTGAATCATTTAAACTAAATAAATTTAAATTATATTCTTCGCTACAAAAATTTTTTATCCTTTCTTAATGATCATAATTATTTAAATATTTAAATGAATTACACATTTATGAATTACACGTTATTTCATATTGAATTATAGTATACAAAATACAGCAAGAACTTATGACACCTGTGTTATAATTATATTTAAAATTTATGTAATTCAAATTTATGTCCTCTAAAATAATAATATTGAACATCAATATAATTGAAAATAATCCCAGGAATCCTTACTATGTACCATTAAATTTCGAACTAAATGACATATTTCATAGCCAAAATAAATACAATATCAAATAATGAATATGTGATAAAAGATATATCTTATGTGATTTGAATTTAAAAAAAATATTTTTGAGCAAATTCTTAGCAAAAAAATTTAACTATAATTAATAATTTTAATTGGACATATACAAACAATTTTTTTTTCTAAATTTTTTTTGCTTTTTTGTGTAATGAAAACATTTTTATCAACCTCAAAAAAATTTCTCAAAAAAAAACTAATCACTTCTAAATATACATGTAGTACTTAAATTCAATCCAAAATGAATGTGGGAAAAGTTTTAATAAAGGATAAAATTGTATCCAATCACTAAATTCCCATTAAAATATCAATGATTATACTTCATAGAGATTAAAGAATGAAAAATTTGATATTTAGAATTTAATATCATAAAATTAAAAATTCTACATGTATAAATAGTAGATATAACTAGATTTTTTTGTTTTTGAATATTTTCCTCTTATAAAAATGAGTAATTTATGTACATATACATATATATAAATTTTTCTATATATATATACATTTTTTTTAAATATATATAACAAATATAATTTAATTATTGTATATTTATGTATACATAGATAAAAATTTTTGCTTTATATAAATATACAATTTATTTAATAATGCAATATGTTTTTTAATTAAATTTTCAGTATACATATATATATATATATGCATATACGTTTCCTTTACTTTTCAATTTATTAATTATTTTTAATTTTTTCAAATTTTTCTGCTTCTTTCCTTTTTTTTCACTAATCTTTCAAAATTTGGAAAAAACAAAAAAATAAAATATCATTACAATTGATTTTGAAAAATTTCGATTTTGTTATTATTTCTCTTAATATTATTTTCATTAAGAATATTGATAAAAACAAATGCAGTCTTGGCTAGCTATTTAAACTATTTGCGCTTGTGTCATGGCTATAGTGTTCTGTATTAACAATTACTTGTACAATATAACCATTTTGTATATGTGCCTCTTCAACCATCATTTTATCACCTAATAATTTACCACCGTAAAACCATCTTTGACAACATGAATCAATTCCTTCAGCGGTCTAAAAATATATATTATATGCATATATAAAAAATCTATATAATATAAAAAATCTTACTCTAATAAAAAATTGAACAAAAATTTTTTGAAATTTTTGCTCAGCTTTAATTTTTTAGTAAATTGATCAGATTTGTATTCTACATTTTTATTTTCAATGTAAATATTATTTCATATCACGACTAATTGTACATTTATATCAAATGCATACTTATATAAAGTAGCAAAAAAAATTGTTTATAAAGCTAAAATGTATCTTAAATTTTACATATTCAATGCTCTCACAGAGAAACTACCACAATTTTCCTTATTTTTGAATTTTACTTTCACTGTACATTATTTGAAATTACGCATATTCCTCAAGAAAAAAAGTAAAAACTTCAAAATTATGTTGCAAATTCTCCTTGTTTTTCAAATAATAAAATATCCATAAATAAATTTCTATTCAGTTGACGGCTTTTTTTTTGTTAATAGTAATCGACCTCGAACTTCATTTTATATTTCAAGGGTTAACAATATTTAACTTTTTTTTTATTTATAGTTTAATTATTATTTAATAACAATTGTAAAAGCTTTCCAAGCAACAATTTGGTATAAATTATAAAATATTACAATATCCTCTAAAAAAATATTTAGCTTGCTTTGTTTTTTTCGATTAATTTTACTTTTTTTTATTAATTTTTTCCCATCACCTTCGCCTAAGATGCCATATCAACAATAAAAATTGTTAAATTTAATTAGAAACTCCCTACCATGAAGTTATTTATTTAACATTTTCAAATTACGATACGGCATACCTTTAACTCCTATATGGTAAAATTCTAATTATTGTAACAAATGTAATATATCAACATATGTATATATGTATATTAGAACGATATCCTCAATATTGATTTTCAACTACATACTTTATTAGAAAAAAAAACAATAACACAATTTAAATACAAACATAAATCATATTATTATATTATTATTTAGAGAATGAATCATATTTCAATAGAAAATTAAAAAGGTGTTTAAAACTGTTAATGTCAAAGTTTGAATGGTATATTTTTACATTTGTATTCATGTTGCTTTATAAACTTTTACAAAATTAATGTTTTTTTTTAATTTAATTGTAAATACTACATTTATTAATGAAAATTTAGTATTCTTTATTTGTGGAAAGGGGGATACTAATTAGAAAATTTAGTATCCTATATTTGTGGAACATTATCTTCTTCATATTGTACTAGTCGCTAACCATCACTTATTTTAGTTTCATTGAAAAAAAACATTTATTTTAATTAAAATTTAAAAGAAACTTACTTGCAATTTTCTTTTACACTGCCCAATAGTGTCTTTTGTATACACTAACAACTTAATATCTGTCATAGTTGTGGATATCCTTAATTTTAAAAATACTTCTGTACCACCATCAACTGGTTCCGAATATTCTGCCGGTGAATCTCTACCACTCTCTTCCTTAACAATATTTATTGGATATGACAAACAATATATTGGAACTTTATATTGCGTTCCTAATTCATCATAGCATTCCGTTAAGTAACTAAAATGTATAATAGTATCAGATAACAAGATAATTCTTTTTTAAACTTATAAATTCATGTAGTTTGTTTACTTACCCATTAGGCACAGATATATTAGCTCCATCTAATATTGCCTGTGCCAATTGAAAATCTAGTGACTCAGCAGCTGTGGTTGCAGCTCTTAAGGCATCCCATATCTCTTTTCGTCCGTCAAATGCTGGTGCTGTATCCCAAAATTCATCACGTTTTGATCGTAATTGTCCTTCTAAATTTAAAAACATATTAGTACATTAATTATATGTGAAGAGATGTAATTAAAAATAATGCAATAATTTTTTATAATAAATAAATTTACATTAATAACAATAAAATTATTTTTACTTTAATAAAATATTCATAAAAATACAAACAATACTTTCAATTCTACTTTTTTATTATTAATTACCAGTTAAAGGCACGTCAGAACGCCAACGTATTGTTTCATGGCACAATGGGTGATTCTTTCTAGACGGTCCAAAATTACCTCCTTAAAAAATAATAAAATTTAAATTAGGTATGGAGACAAATAAAACAAAAATTAAAAATCCTTTACATATAAGTATGTACATATATAATCATAATGAACACTTAGAAATTGATTTTCCATTAAGTAATTTTAATAATCTAGGTCATGCAATGAGTACAATACATGTATTTTACTCATTGATAACAACAATTCCACCACAAACAGAAATAGATCTATAATTATTTTTAACTCACCTGTTGTAAGTCCCCCTGATATCGGTCTAGATGTAGATTCCACGCTAGCAGTTTCATTATTTTCATTGGATTGTAGACCAATACAGCCCCCCATTTTAATTCAACTTCTGCTAAAATCACTTTTGACTTTTTTAATGTCTTTTTTACTTTATTATTTTTAAGTTTTTTGTGCTATTTTAATAAATGTAATTTCATTACTAATTTACTTAACTTATTTTTTATTTATTATTCATTTTTGTTTTAGTGTTGTTTGTACTAAGCAATTTTTAAGCATTTCGCCATAACTTTCTTTTCAATTTTCCAAAAATTCAATACCTTCGGACAATAGATATGTAGGTACGTTTATAAGCTACTCTAATTTTTTTTTCTTTTATATTAATTATCTTTAAGTACTTTAATTTTTATAATTGATTTTGAAAGTTATTAATAATTAATAAGTCAAAAAAATAAAAACAAAAAATAAAATAAAATGAATATAATATTTTCTTCACGTAAACCTTTGACATGCTCTAAACTCCAACCAAAAAGTGAAACTGAAAACTAAAAGGTTAACGTCATTTCGACTTGTCAATTAAAAAGAGTAAAAAATACGATATAAATATAATAGCCGGCCAGTGTGACCGCTACTAACAAAATGTAAATTATGATTAAGAGAACTCTAACGGCAGAAAAAAACATCTACTTAGCAAGAAAAAAAATTTATTTAGAAAAATTGTCATAAAAGTTTGGTTAATAAACCGAACTATTGCCTAAATATTATACAAACATATAACAAATACATAATATAAAAATAAACTCAAGTTAAACTATAATAATGTAATTTTAAGAAATTTTTAAGATTTAAATTATTGACTGCATTGTTTTTTAATTTTTTTCTATTACTTTGATATAGAAAACAACACGAAAAATCAATAAATCTCTCAATAATAAAAAAGCTTCTCTTTAATCAATAATATCAATAAAATGTGATCAAAGAAAACAAAAATGTTTTCTTTCAAAATATAAAATTATGTATATTTTTAAAATTTTCCCTTCCATCTGAAACAGCTTCCTAAAAGAACTTGGCATTTTACTCATAAATAATTTCTGACCCAAAGAAAAGTGCCAGAAATCTAAGCACATTGAAAGTGATACGAATACTGAACGAAATTCAATTCAAATTTAAAGTTACATATTATGTTATCTATACCTACTTAATTTAAAGGCAGGGGAGGTGTGCATATTTATAAGCTTACAAAGAGGGAAATAATTGCAAATGTCTCCTGACAGACTTCAACATTGCAATTTGCAACGATGGTGCATTGCTGCACAATTCAGCAGTAACAGTTCATAAGCTGAATTGTACATACTTATATTAAGACCTTATTACATACTAAGAGATCAAAATCGGATTTTAATAATTTTTAGTTTAAATACATAATTTAGTTATAACGTAAAATGCGTAAAAAATAAAATAATTGTGAAAGTAATAAATAACATATCATATTCACAAGAGCTTTTAGATTTTATCAAATTTATGATTTTTCTTAGAAATTAACTGCTACATCTTCTATATATGTATATACATACGACTAATCATACATACAAGCATGATGTATGTATGTACGAATTCCTATGCGCATATTATACTCTATTTACCAGATGTAGTAAGATAATTTATTTGTGCACACACATCCATACGAGTACTCATCCATACATACATATTTCATTCATAAACATAAGTGTTTTGACAAATTCTGTAAAAAAATCGTAAACAAAAATATTTTCTTTACAATATCATTGCATGTTTATTTTTATGCATATAAAATATTATCCGCCATATTTTTTAATTTTATCTTTATATGCACATAAATATCTACATTCATGAATAGATATAAATATTGATGTATGTATGTACCTACTATATTAATTTTTCAAAACAAAATGCGTTTTAGATAAAAATGCAATAATACCCACACTATTTTTCATATACATAATATTATATAAAATGTAAACATAGAAAAGAATAACAATAATATTATTAAAATGCATTTGTTTTGCCAACTTTCGCTATTGACCTTTAAGTTTTTTGTTTCCGCGTCGTAATTAAATAAACAAATATTATAAAACTCATACAAATAAAATTCTTAAACTAACAATCAACTAACTATTCAAAGTTATTTCCAAAGAAACGTACATATTTTGTTTACAAAATATTTAAAAAACAAAAACAAACAAAACAAGATAAAATATAAACTAAAAAAAAAACAAATAAACAAATTAAAAAACAACAGGACAAAACTTAAAAGTTTAATTGCGATACTTTTTATTTTAAAAGGCACATGTATGTATATGTATTGTCAACAAATATGTAAATAAGAGTATGGTAATAAGAACCAAATTCTAAATTTTTACTATTAATAATTTCAAACTTAACACACATACATACTTTTATTAAGCGCCAAAAAAGCTTCATTTTTCAAGCTAATTCGGAGGTTGTTTACGAGTATAATACAAGCGTGCTCACAATACTTCTAAAATATTAAACTATCTGCATACATAGTTGGATAAAAGCTCAATGACTATACCCACTTAAATTAAAAAGTAAAATGTTTGCAGTAACAAAGGGCAATCCTAAAGATACATAATTTCCGTTCCACATTTATACTTTTTATAAAGATTTAGATAGTGGATACTGCATATTTTACTCATTTGCATAACTGCTCCTTGTTAATTTTTTTTCGCTAAATGAATTCATAATTTTTAAGACAAATTGTCAAAAGTTAAAATCATATGCAAACGCTAAAATATTTTCCGATCTTAGAAATATAAATTTCAATTCGTTCCATAATGCAAACTTTATATCTACGCTTTGAAAAGATTTTGTAATGCAGAATTTAAATGAAAATAGAAGTTCGAAGGCAATTTTAAAATTAAATTTCCTACAACCTAGCAGGGTGGGTATTTATTTAATCCAAATTCAAAATGTAGTTTTTCTTCAATATTATTGTTATATGAATGTATTATAATTACGTGTGGAGATACATATAATAGTTACACAATTTTGTGTTCAGGTATGTATACATACATAGATTATTATAATATTATAACTATTAATATCATTGAATTTTAGGATTGCCCAAATAAAAATGAAATCAAATGCCGTTAAATATTACTTATTAGGAATAACTGTAGTGATTGATAAACAAAACCTACTTAAACAAACACACACGAACATTAATGCGTAATCAAGATAAGATTAACAGACACACCTCCAAAAAGCTCCTTTCATAAATTTAATAATAAGTAAAAGTCTGGTAAATAAATATTTTGCGTCTTCTACTTACGTATTTTTTACTTATGTATGTATGTATAATATTTTAACAGGTTCAGGTATGTATATTTTAAAAAAATTACGCAACATAATATTAAACTAAATATTTAAATTGAAATAACAAATAATGTAAATGTCAGATAATAACTAAGATCTACTATTCAGGCCGAATGGCATAAGGTTGTTAAAACAAAATTAGCTCGTATATTTTGTTGTTAAAATAAAATTGGCGCGTAGCAACATAAGTCTTATTTGAACTAAAAGCTATTCCTAAATTTTTATACCCGTACGAACGTATGTTCAAAGGGTATACTAAATTTGCCTTACCGTTTGTAACACTAAGAATAAATCGTCTGAGATTCAGACTTAAGTGTATGTTTTTGATCAGCGTCAAATTCTGAGTCGAATTCCGTCCGTTCGTCCGTCCCAGCGATAACTCAAAAACTAATTGAGCTAAGTTCATCAAATTTTCAAAAATGATTTCTTGTAGTAAATACCAGAACTCTATTTAAGTTGGACATGATCGGGATACTGGTTCGGGTAGCTGCCATACAACTTCAAAATTTATTTAACTATATTTTATAAACTATGAAAGTTGTGGAATAAAACTTTCGCACAAGTAAATATATTAGTATAGCCAATGTGCTTGATAAAAGTCGTTGAAATTGCTTGGCTCCTTTTGGTAGCTGCCATACAACTTCAAAAGTTATTTGGTTATATCTTAGAAAGTGTAAAAGCTGTGACATTGAAATTTTGTGCAATTAAATATATAAGTATGACCGACATGTTTGATTATTGTTGACAGAAATTTCTTGACTGGTTGTGGAAGCAGCCATACAACTTCAATAGTAGTTTGGCCATATCTTAGAAAATATTGAAAACACAGTACTGAAATTTTGCATAAATTAATATGGTAATACGACAACTTAAGGTCATAGTCCATCCCGTAGTCAGCTATGGCATATTTATTCCCTCATAGGATAACAAATTCGTACGTGTATCCTAGAGTTGGCATTCTCGTTTTTTACATACATATATTGTTTTAAAAAAACAATATTGCATACATATTGCAGCGCAACTCAATTTCGGGATGACGGAGCTCCAATACGGAATATTTTTGTTTCGTGACACATATACATACATATACATATATAAAGATTCAATTTCATATGATATTTTATACCGTTATCATTATAATTTAAATTTCATGTTAAATTAAATTTAACATGAATCATGATAGTCAAAATATTATGTAAAATTCTTCTGAGAAAAAACAACAAATGCCTTATCATTTATATATACATATGAGTATGTATATGCAATGTATTTGCAAACAAACTAACTATGTGTGTACATATTTATTTATTTACATTTTAACTGAATTCGTAAACAATAACTAAAGAGCTTTTTTTACTTATTCAGTTAGAAAAGAGATATAAATTTAAAATATATACAATATATTTGTACTCATATCTCATTTACTCTACTAAAGCTTTTGCAATTTTTATGAAGAAAACGAGTATTACATACATATTTATATAATTCTGTATGTATAATACAAACACTCAAACAAACATGTAAAAATCATGACATAAATTATTTTTTATATGCGACTTTCTAATTGCATTATAACAACTAACAAGTCGACTTTCAGTCAGATTTCAGTCGGCATTAAGTCAACTTGATAGCTTTTATTCTGTTTGTTTTTTTTTTAATGTTATTTTATTATGTTCTCAATTCTCAGCTCTGCATAATTCTGTACATTTTGTATAAATACAAGTCAAAATGCTAAAAGCTATTTAGTATAACTCAGAATTTTGAATAAAGTGCAAAAAAATTAGCAAGAAAAAAACTAGTAATAAAATAATAAAAAAAAAAATAAAGAAAGAAATAATTTTGCTTTCTTTTTGTTTTTGGTTTAAAACAATGTACTAAATGTGGATTATTTTTTAAAACAAAGAACCCAAAGTGAATTAAATATACAAACATACATCTAAATAAAAATATAATTTATAAAATTTATAAAAAGTTATATAATAATACCTTAAATTTAAAAAAAAGGTACCTATATACGCTTAAAATCAGAAAAACCTGTTTTAAAACTCAATTTTTATAAACTCAACTCAACTTAAAAAAAAAAAAAATTGTGAGCAAAAATGAATTTAACAAATAAAATTTTGACTTCTTTATTTGTTTTTATAACAATTAATTTTAAAATAATAATTGCCGGTCGGTTATTAGTGATATTTTCTATACCATTTCCTGATAATCAAATAACATTTAGACCATTAATTGAAAATTTATTAGATAAAGGACATTCTATTACATTAGTAACAACAAATCCAGAAGTATTTCTAAATAATAAAACCGATGTATCAGCATCATATTTTGAAAATAATAATAATAATAATTTAGAAATAATTGATTTAAGTTTTACACATAATTTAGAAATATTAAATCAATTAAAAACATCACATCAACAAAATGATTTAAATGGTAGTGATATGATACGTGATGCATTTCAAATTTTAAGAATAATTGCTGAAAAACAATTAAAATCATTAGAAGTTGAACAATTTATTGGTAATAATACAATAATAAAGCAAACAACAAGAACATCAAATTTAAATAATTTAAATAATAATAATAATATAAAATATGATGCTGTATTAATTGATTGGTCTGGTGCATCATTAATGAATGGTTTTGCATATAAATTTAATGCACCATTAATAGGTATAACACCAGCTGGTGCATATATGACATTACATGAAGCTATGGGTAATCCAAATCACCCAGTATTATATCCAAGTGTATTTATGCCATTTAGTGAAAATTTAAGTTTATATCAAAGAATTGTTAGTACATTATTTTCTTATAAATATAGGTAAGTTATAAAATCAATATATTTATTATAAGTGTACATAAATACATAATATTTTAAAAATTTTTAGAAATCTTATTATACCTTAGTCCCTATATGTATATAGTCTACATATAGGAAAACAATTCATAAATTATTTAGATTTGAAGCTCTTTATTTATTTCTTAATTACTGATTAGAAAGGGCCACTTCCATAGTGTTACCTTAAATGTGATGGATCCCAATGATCATATTATGAAGTTTTCAATATTTTCGTTTAAATGTCATGCATAAATACTATAGTGCCCTTAAGTTAATATTAAATTTTCAATTTTTTAACTTATTTGGATTACTGCATATCTTAGATATTTGACATTTGTCTTATTCCAAACTAAACAATTAGTAATCTTCATGTTGGGGTGATTATTTTTGTCGAAGAGTTTAAATTGGCACGCTTTCAAATTAAAATTTCTTATATTTACGATTAATTACGATTAACATATTTATGTATGTATGTATATATTCCGATTCTAGAAAATTAATTATTTACTTACTTGTTAAATTCTTGTAAAATACATGACAATATAATATAAAAATAAATATGTACTAAAAGTATGTGGAGGTATTTATATTAAAAAGAATATAATGGCAAGAAAATGCATTTTATTTTTACTTTTCGATTGCAAATAGCTGTTGTAAATATTTACAAAAATTTAAATTAAATTTGTTAGAAAGCTTAGGTAGGTTCTAATTTAGATATGTGGTGTTACATATTTATACATACATGTTTTATTCTATTTTTATAATTTTAATTACGAATGTGCATACTTATGTAAAATAATATTTCTTTTAATTAAAAAATTTTTGCAAGCCATTTTCTATTTATTGTTTTTAATTTAATTTGATTAAATTTTATATAGAATTACAAGACAAAATACAAATTTTTTTAATATGCATGTTTAATATGTAAATGTATGTATATTCTTATAAAACATTATATAATAAAAATGTTTGTTTAAATTTTTTCTTTATTAGTTAATATTAATATTATTAGCATTAAAATACATTTCATTTCAGCTTACATATTTTAAGATATGAGTATCTTAAAATTTCACTTAAAAATGTTTTCAAAAAATCTTAAAATTAATGTATGTGCATGTGCGCGAATTACTAATTGAACAATTGAACCGTCAAATTATTTGGGTTGACCAAAATGTAAGAGCATTAAACTGTTGTCTTTAAGAGCATTAAACTCTTGACGGGAAATTTTTAAGGATTTTTTTCTCAGATGATGTTAAAATTCGTTATTCTAAAGGCTTGAATTCTTAATTCTTAAAGCTAGTTACTAAAAACAATATTTTTAGCAAAAAACATAACAGAAATTTCAATTAATAAAAATTCTATAAGTACAATAGGCAAAAAAATTTCTTTATGTCATCAATTACACAATTTTGTTTTTGCTTTAATACCTTAATCGTTGAAGTAAATCAATATAGATAATTAATTTTAATTGTTTTATTTGTATATTATATAATTTTATAATTAATATCGCAAATTTAAATCAAAAATATTGAATTTTTTGTTTCTATTTGCAAGTAATCTCTTATTTTATCGATGTCAGCACTTAAATTTACGTAGAGCTATATATACATACGACATAGTACAAGTCCAAAATACTTTGAACTCTGGAAATTATAATGAAAAAATACTTAAAGTTTTTAAAGTACATAGTTATTATGTAGATTAATTTTGATTTTATACTTGATTTCCTTTTGTGTTTTTTACCATATTAAAATTTCCTTAAAATTATTTAATATTTTACCTTGTTACCTTGTTTTAATTTAAAAAAAAAAGATTTTCTATTATGTTAATCAACTGTTATTTATCAGTAAATATTTATTGAAATTTGAGCATATTGCAAGTAAGAATTCTTCATTAATATATTAATTATTTAGAACACTGTAATGACTAATAAAATTTCGATGACTAAAAAGTTTCCATCAATTTATTAAGAAAAAATAAATCAAATAATGTTCGATAACATTTTATTTTCAAAGTTGCTATTTCGTGTCTGGAATATTCCAATACTTTTGAGTTTTGTAAATACATTATACATACATACATACATATGTAAGAAATTTGTGGAAAAGTACTTTTTCACATAAAAATTTTCTTTTAGGTTTGATGATAACCTAATGGCTTTATAAATTAAACATTAAGTACTCATTTATATTTAGAAAAAAGTTGAATAAAATTAAATTTAAGTCAACATCAGTTAAGTATGTACATATATATTTATGAATAGACTTTGGATTCACTAATTTGTGTGCTTAGAAATGAATGCTTAGCGATAAAATATCTTATATTTGTATGACATTAACTTTAAGAGATTTACGCTTTTATTTGAACGAATTGAATATTTGCTCTAATTTGTGAGCGCATTCATAAGGATTTATACGTACCATGTTTAATTGATAGTTTTTCGTTATCAGTAAGAAAATTATTATTATTATATTTTTACAATATTTGGTCTCTTACTGTTATAAAGTTATTTTTATAATTTTGTTTATGCTTTATTTTTCAAGTTTTTTTTTTGTTGCTTTTACATACCAAATGTGCAAAAATTATCAACTTTGATGTAAATATTTACTTATGTAATAAATATTATTATTATAAATTGTAAAGTTTCCATGTTCAATTAATTATATGAAAATTTACTTATGGTGAATTAAAATATTCTAAATTTAGAAAATAATTTAATGTTTACACTTGAAAATATATTTTTTATTAAGAAATTTTGAAGTCAGAATTTCTGAGATCGGAAATGTATTAATACTGTATTAATGCAAAATTCAATTTATAGATGTCAGTTGCTGAATTGTGTATAAACACAATGGTATTATTACAATTTCGATGTTAGGGTTATTATAACAATTGAATTTTTCAATGTTTAACATTGAAACAAAATTCACCTTAAGAATCGTAATTGCTGAATAATGTAGTAATACTTACAGCATTGACACAATTTTAAAGTCACAAATACTTACATACATTATTACACAATTCAGCTTATTATTTATAATTGCTGAATTTTGTAATAATACAATTTATTAATGAAATTCCTATATAATAAGTTATAAGCGTTTAACAATTGTAATATTTTAACTATTAGATAATATTTAATTAAATTTTATGACGATTGAGATAATGGATTTTGTAAGATACATATATATTTTTGATAAGTTTATCATATACTATACGAAATACGATATACAAAATCGATTTAGTTTTCACAAACAAATATATGTATATATTGTAAGCTATATATTATACATATTCGTGCGCGCTTATCTTTACAATAATACTTATATTAATATTATTTAGTAAATGCATTATCGAAATATACAAATTTTTATATTACTTATTTTATATTAATATATTACAAGAATTATCAGAACTATACTCTATATAGAAATTTATCAATTGAACACTGATAGCTTAGGTTTCATATTACAAACTTTTTTTTTCAACTTTCTATAATTGAGAATTTTATATATTTATAGTTAATAAATGAAATCGATATTCAAATATTAAATTATAATTTTATTTATTTTTATATTTGAACTGGTAAACAAAAGTATATGAAGTGTATGTATAAATGTATTGAATACCAATTCAATCCAAATAATACAGATATGAAAAAAAATTAAATATTATCAAAATGTCTAAGTTTATATTATAAGATCATATACATATAAAAAAATTTCTAGAACATTTTTATGACATTAAAAGTCAAACACGAAAATTTTGAAATTTTTTCATCTTATAGTTTTATGTCAAAGTTCGGAGGCACGAGATTTGACACTATTTCCAATACTTAAATGGAAATAACATTATTTTGCAACAAGTAATTATAGAAAAACAATTCCTACTTAAATTAATTTCGAGGGTTATATAATGGGGTTGAACAATATTTCACTTATTAGAAACTAATTATTACTATTGTAATTAAAAAAATAAAAGTGTAAATTCAGCATGAACTCAGATATTTTTCATTATTATTAAATAAATTATTTATGCATTTAAAGAAAAAACAATATTTGACAAAGTTCATATTACATAAAGACTTGTACAATAATCAAATTTATATTTAACTTTAGAAAAATGTTAAAATAACTATTAATACTTATTACTATGCAAAAATTTAAATTTCAAAAAAATATTTAGCAATTCTGTAAGTAATTTTAATTTTGAAAAAACGTGTATTTCAAAAATTTAAGTTCAAATTTTCGATTTTATTTTAAAACAAAACTCTAATTTTTTATATTTTTGGGCATAAATTCGTAGTATACATATATATATGTATGATGTAATTATCAAAGTAATTTCGAAAAAACTTGGTTTAAGCTACAAAGAATTCCCATCTGCAAAAAATTAATAAAAACTACCAAAGTCGAGATAGGCGGTCTGTTACTTGTAACAACACAATTAACTTAATTAAATATAAGTATAATATAAATGTATGAATTATTATTATAAATTATTTTTAACAATTGGTAACACTACAGGAATAATAAAATTTTAATGAATATTAAAAGTGAATTCCTTACCGTATAAGGTTATTGTATAGTAATTTGTTTACAAAAATATTTCTTTGCTATTTTATCAAAAATTGTAAATATTATGCTTGAATAAATTTTAAAATATATTGTTACTTTCTCAAATATTTTTTAAAATAATTGAAAATTCAAAGTTATCATTGTATTTAGGAAGTTGTTTGTAATACGACACTTCAATTTTTTCTTAAATTTCATAAAAATATATGCAATTTTTTAAATTTTATTAAATTATTAATTTTTGCGGTTGTGGTGATCAGATGTTTAAATATTTATTTAGCTTTCTATACTAGCTAGAAAACTGAACTGATTAATTTTCCAGAAAACTGAACGCACATGATTAATATTAAATAACAAAATTTATGCAGGGAAAAAATTTTATTTAAAATAATAAAATTACTTATTAATTTTATTTAAAAATAGAAATTATTATCTGTTCGATAATTTAAAATTGGAATCGTTTTATTGAAATATCTTTTATTTATATATAAATAATGCTTATGCAAGCGTGTTATATTTTATAAAAATGGTATAGTGTTCTAGAAAATATTATAGAATTTTTACTCACCTTTTGTAATATTGGTTGGTTGGTAATATAATGCAATAGTTCCGACTAATATTTAAGTTAGTTAAATTTTATATCAGGAAATTTCAATGACGTATTCAATTTCAATTCAAACCACATAACTATTTATATACCACAATGAAAATCTAATGTAAAAGTCGAGAAGTTCTCAATTAGTAATCGAAATATCTACAGATCTTTCCGGTAATTAGTGGCGCAAGCTATTTTACAAATAATTAGAGATTTCTATAAGTATCCACTAGTTCCATCCACAAGATTAATGAAATTAATGGAAAAGACAACAAGAGGTTAATGGCATATTTTTTCTTTTGTTTCCTTTTATGAAAAATATGAGCATCAACTTTTGTATATGCTTATTCTAATTTTATTTTTAGTTGTCGTTGAAAGTTAATGTAACTATTGTAGTCTAATATAACTATCAACAAGTGCATACTTTTCCAATAGTAAGCAAAAAAAAATTCAGTTAACTAGTTACAATTATTTTGTTCAGCATTAGAAATTAAATTTTATTTAATATAATTTTAAACAATGAAATTTAAAGTACTCAGCAAAATGTATGCTAACAACTTCATATAAATTTAATCTCTTTATGCGATTATACATATATGTGCACATATTGTTATTATTCTATATTATAGTATCTTGTATACTGCTAAAATACGCAAACATATACATATACATATACAATAAATGTATGTACAATTATTATAATTGAAAAAATAGATTAAATTTTGGGTAAACATATAATTATAAATTATAATAGTTTTTTTATTCTCATTATTCCCATTAAAATATTTAAATTAAAAAAAAATCTTTTCAAAGTTGAACAAAAGAAATTTAATAATGTAAGTGTGTACTTACTATCACTCATATTATTTGAACTTTCATTAAAGCACAGGTAAATAAACTAGAAATAATACATGAACAAAAATATGTAAATATTCAACATATAAACTCTCTTTAAAATTAAATTACGTAAGTTTTAGTTCTATTGGCATTTAAAGCTGGTATAAGCATTTTAAGCAATCTTCCTTAAGTGATTAGCCCGAAAAATACTGGCCAAACCACTATATAAACTGAAATTAAGATTTGAAATAGAAAAGAAAAGTTTGTGAAACTCAAAAAAAAATAACATAGGTAAACAAAAAACGTAAACAACAAAAACTAGTAAAATATTTGCATTTTCGAACTGTATAACATTAATTTTATATTTTGGGAACCAGTATATAAAAATTTCAAGGTAGTTTATTGAACTTAAATAAAGTAATAAGGTTAATATGTTATACAGATAATTACTATGTATATAATAGATATAGTACATACTCTTTTATATTCTTTAATTATATCAAAAACAGCAGTTATAAGTACTTCGATAATACTAAAGTTTATATGCAACTTCCAAATATTTTTTCTTTCAAATAATCATTTATAAAGCAAATTTTAATCTAATATAAATTTTCTTTTATTTTACACAGAAATATTTATTTTTATGAAGAATTACCAGTACAAAATCAAATTGCAAAAGAAGTTTTTGGTTCAGAGATACCAGATTTATGGGAATTACAAGTAAATGCTGATTTACTTTTAATAAATAGTTATCAATTATTAAGTAATATAAGACCAGTTGGTCCAACAACAATTTATTTAGGTGGTATACATGCACAAAATTCAAAACAAAAAATTTCTAATGAATTGGAAGAATTCATTTTAAAATCAGATAATGATATTGCCTATATAAATTTAGGTGAACCAATTACAATGGTATTTTTAAATACAAATCGTATACAAAAATTATTGAGTACATTAGAAATATCACATTTTAATGTTATATGGAATTTAAATGGACATTTAGTTACAAATTTTAATTCAACTGAAAATATTTATATGGATGGATTTATGTCACAAGAGGATGTTTTGGGTAAGTTTTGATTTTATTTTAAATAATGTATAGTTGTGAGGTCAATTTATGTTGGTGTAGTTTTTTTATGTTTGAGCACAGTGACACGGGAAAATAATCTTATACATTTGCGCACTAATCACTAAAATACCTTTTCTCAAATTTTAGAAGCCAATTTTGGAAGTCAATGAAACTGGGGCATGACTATCTATGATAGCATACAATGAAATTGACATAAAGAAAAGGGGGTATGACTATCTATGATAGCATGCACTAGCCCTATGCTCCCTTCTAGGAGTGAACAAAGCAGAAATAAAAAATAATGGAAGCCACTAATTTTAGGAGTCATTGTTTTTTTATATTTTTATTACCACTAACATTTTTAATAATTTTTTTACAATATGCATATTAATACTTATAATGTATTTAATATTATAATGGTAGCATTTAATTTTGATAATTACAAAAAAACAAACCATTGCAATTACAATAAAGAAAGTAATTTAGAAGTTCGTGTTATAAAATAATATTTAGAAAATAAGGAATTAGTAAAAATAAATTAAATAATTATAGAGCTGAATAATAAATTTGCTTTATTTTATTATTAAATTTTAAAACAAGTAGTTTTTAACGAAAAACACTTTTAATTTTTTTCACACGTTCAAAATTTCTTTTATAATATAATAATGAGATTATGAACTGCTATCCGCTCTCTTACATTACATATCGTGTCAACAATTAGAATTAAAAAAAAAACTAATAATTTTCGAAAATTTTTTCGCTTTAACGCTATACCAATTGTTATCAATATATTAATTAATATAGGCAGATTACTTAAGTAATCGAAACCGATTTAGATGAAAAGAATTTAAATTCGAAACTACGAATGACGTATTTCTACATTCGAAGTCTATTTTTATAATAGTCATATATGTATGTTATGTGCATATATTAAGAAAATTATATAAGTAAATTATAATCGGTATTTTTTTAAATTATCAACAAAATATCAGTACCTATAGATGTAAGAAACTCTTACGTATGCATACCGTAAAAATTATTATACACTAATATCACTATGTGTGACATGAAATTTTTTAATTTTCTGGCAATTTTTATATAACCACACACATGACTTGATTTGTCATACAATCTAATAAAATTTATTAGTTATACTTGCATGTATAATATAATAAATCAATATACTAAACTGCACTATAAATATTTTTATTCTAAAGCAAAAAATTTTATAGATTAATAAAGTTCTCGAAAGCTTTAAAATCTATAAAATAAAAGTAACAATTAAAAAAAAAAAAAACAATTTATTTTATTAAGTAAACATTTAAATTGAAATAATTTAAGTAAATTTACTTAATTATATATACAATATTTTAGATTGTCAATAAATAGGTATACTGTGATATTATTTGATTATAAAATTCTATTCTATTAACGTATAAAATCTTATTTAATATATTTTTTCTTGTTTATTGCAAACAAATTTGTTTTTTTGTTATATACAATTTATTACTTATATTATCAATTATAATTGGAAAATTATTTATTAAAAATTGCATTCATTTGCAATTTTTGCCATGTTCATGATAAGAAGAAAAATCAATATATTAATATTTTAAGGGTTATACAAAAATACATGCCATATTTGATTACGTACAATAAATTATTTATAATTTTAATAATATCGGCAACTAATTATCATATTATTCTTTACAAAATGTTTTAAAAAAACCTTAATAATATTGTTGTTTCCAAGTTTGAAAAAAAAATATGTTTGATTATTTAAGAGAAATCTACATTTTATATACATATATGCTTATGAATCTTAATTTAATTTTATATATGTATACATACACCAAAAATATGTACATCCCTATATTTTCAACTATCTAAATGAAAATCATTAAGATCATTACAGAATTAATTAACAGAGTGAATAAATATCAAAATATGGAATAACAATAAAATTTATTAAAAATATTATACTAATACTCATATAGCAACTCAATAAAATAAAAATTATTTTAAAGCTTTTTTATATTTGATAAATTTTTGAACTGAAGACGATTAAAATTGCTCGCCTATATACTCTTCATATCTTTCATCTAATTTTGAAAAATTTATTAAATTTTTAAATAAAAAAATACAAAGAAAATTTGAAATTGAAATTGTGAAGTACAAAGTAAAATTGATATTCGAAAAATAATAATGTAGGAAGAAAATATTGGGTCTGCCCTCGGCCTAAGAGCATATCTAACATTAAATTAACCCATTAACTATTACAATTTTAGTTTTTGCACTTAAATGTTTTCTTTATATTTCATGTATAAGAAAAACAAAAATCCGAAAATTTAGAGCTTACCACGGTTGTAAAGTAAACTATGACGTTATCATTGTTAAATTTTTTTTGTTGAGCGTGCGTTGTTGGAACTTAAAAGTATTTTAATTATTTTTTTCTATTTATGATTTAAAAAAAATTTATAAAACCTTTAGTTTCCATTAGGTTCGATCTGCCGCTCCAGCTTAGCTTCGAGATGCCACAGCGGCATTACATAATTAAATAATTTGATGAATTGCAATATGTACATATATTATGTATAATTAACTTATGTATTAACGTGGTGTATAGAAAAAATTACAACTATTTTTTTTAGTTCTTTATGCAATATTTTTCTTTGTTCATTAAAATAGATTTATTTTAAATACACACAATATTATACATATACATATGTATATATAAAAGCATGTATATGCATATATTATGTTCTGTACACTCACTATAAATACAAATTAAAATTTTATAAAATGCACACACTATTTAATTGACATGCCAAAGAGAACAAAAGAAAAAATAAAAAAAAAATTTGTTTACATATTCAGTATGAAAATATTTGCACCTATGAATTCACATATTACTTATACATAGCATTAAAATGCATGGCTTGCATTATTTCATTAACCATACAGTATGATTTGATTTTCTCTAAACAAAGAGATTGTTGTATAATTACATAGAATCAATGTATGAGGTTTGTAATAATCGGCATAGTACAATTATAATACTTTCGGGAAAAAGAAATTTTTTTCTGCCTCTTTTAATCAAAACAATATAAATATAAAATAGAGACTCAAGGTCTGATCCTGTATTTCACCTTTTCACTTATTGTATATAAGACGAAAGTAAATTAAATATTCTTATAATTTAAATGTTTAGTGAAAATATTTTTTTGTATAACGTATGTATTTTACTTTTTCTAAAAAGTGATTACAAGAAGTGGCTGAAAATTGAAAATGTCAAATATAAAATGAGAATATTAATTTTTCAAAATTTAACATATTGTTTGTGACATAAGCGTAGTTTTGATAAAATAGTAAGTGATATACGATATTCAATTGCAATAATCTTATTTTATTTATTAGATTACTTGATCCGCTATGAATAAGAACAAGTATTTTAAAAAATATTTTAAGAAAAAAATATAATTAAATATTTTCAATACTTGTTGAATTGTCATAAAGTAACTTTGTAATTAGAAGCTTTATAAAATGAAACGCGAATTCATAATGCTATACAACTAAGTAAGTCAAAACTACACAACAATTTTCAAAAGAACAACAATTAAAAAGATAAAGTACTGACTGACACAGTTTTTTTTTAATTCTTTATCTACGTTTTTATATATATCACTTCGTCCTCTTACATATATTATTTGAAATTCTTTTTATTACTCATACAACAACGTGAATTTCTTAAAACTCTTGAACCTGAACTTGTTAACTTTTCTTTTTTATTTTCATTTCATTTTACATTATGTACTTAAATTCTCGTTATTATCATATATATTATATATATATTATAATATATGTTTGAATTGAAAATAGAAGACCGTGCGTCTCTCCCAGTTAAATATGTTTTAGTGCTTCAATTTAAAAAAAAAACACGAGAAATAAAAGAAACACGTTAAATTAAAGGTTATTCAATTTATCTATGTACGTCATTTTATAAATAGTTTGTAAAATAAATAAGAAAAATTCAGTATAAAAGCATTTATAATATTATTTAAATAATTTAATGTTTTTAATTATTTTAAATTCAAATACATTGAAATACATTGAAAATTTGTTCGACTTGCAATGAAAATGAAAATATTAATTATTTTAAATAAAATGAAAATAAAATTTTCAATTTACATAGTATGTTAAAGAAATACTTTCAATTTATTTCATCAAATATTTCTTAAATTAATTAAATTTATTTATTCAGAAAATTTGCACGAAAAAAGCTCATAATGAAATTTAAAAGAATGAAGTTTTAATTTTTTGAAGAGAGTGCCTAGGATGGAGAATACTAAGATTTTTGCGTTTACTCATACTTACCATATTATATGTATACTTAATCAAATATCGGACTACTTAATTACCCTTTCCGCATCAATTTTCGAATTGCTTTTTGAAATGTAGTACATAACTAATTTATAATCTATTGCAATCGATTACATTTAAAATTAATTGGCAGTATAGTAAAATTAGTATTTGAATTGTAGGCAATAAATTGTCCGATGAAAATACGTACATACATACATATGTATTGTGTAATTATTGTTACAAAATTCATAACCAACATAAGCAGAGCCAATGCTTTATAATGTATGTACATACATATTTATTTCTTTTCTTTATTATCATGTTTTCCTTTCGCTTATTTATTTCTTAAATAGTACAATTGTATAGAAAAATTAATGTAATATAGAAATTTCCAATGGTTTGCGTTATAAGCTGCGTGATTAATTACTTAGTTACATAGTTGAGTATTTATACATAAATATGAGTAACTAATCAATTCCTGATTTCCTACTGAGTTCATATTGTAATATAAGAACATCAATAATATTTTATTGACCTAAATTAGAAACAATTATCAATTGAAAAAAATTGTCAATATATAAAATTTAGTATTGAAAGTGGTATATGTACTACAATAGCAGTATGTCGTACATATCTACATATACATACGATTAATTATAGCTGATGACATAAATATGTCTATATACATATATAATTGATCACGTTTTTATAATGTTTGTATTCTTAATTTTTATTTTCCTAATTTTAACTCATTTTACTTGTTTTATATAAATGTGAACGTATTTATGGATATACATAATTATTGACAATATTATTTAATTACGTAAAAATTATCGTCATTTGGCATTTCTTAATTCATTAAAAGATATTCCTACAATTTGTAAGGGTTAAAAATTTTATAACACCGTGTATTATGATATTAGAGCAAATACCTGTTTAAATACCTAAACATTCTATATATGTATGTACTCGAATTCATACTGAGTTAGTTAAACTCAATGTATAGCATTGAATTCATTACACATTTTTTATATAAATGTTACAATTGTTTTCATATTATTTTATAATTTTAAATCAATTTGTATATACATATGTACTAATTAATAAGCGGTATATAATTATACTGGTTAAAAATTCAAACATATGTTTTAAAATTAATATCTTCCATAACTCCAATTACATTCAATATTATAGAGCTTAATAACCTTATAAAATAAAAATAAGAAACTAATTTCCATATTTTCATAATATTCAATATTAAATACCAATAGATATAAAACAATAAATATCAATAATCTTAAATATTTAATATAAAGAAAAACAACGGCTGACTAGTCACATGCCGAGTTAAAACGCAACAATGTACGAAATTGGGGCATAATTATCTATGATATCAATCACCAGTCCTCTACCCCTCGTGGGGATAAAGAAGAAAACTAAAATATATAAACGTACAAACTATATGTATAAATATGTGCATTCCCTAAAAGCGTGAGAATAGAACTAGAAGACTTGTGGAAAAAAAATTATGGTAGATAAGAAAGACAATAATCATATAGAAGAACAATATATAACAATTACTCTTACAAATATTTATAAATTATGAATTTGATTGAATTTGAAAATTGTTTTATATTTTTATTATTATGCAGTATAACAATTTGAATACATTATAATTTTATAATAACATACAAAATTATAAGAACATTATAATTTTAATAACATTATGAAATTATAATTATTCTTTTATATAATGTATATTTTAAATAAACATTATAAAAAAACTTGCTTTGCAACATGATTTTGTGATAAGATTGCAATTTTAGAACTTGTATTGTGATATATGTACGCCCAAGAAGATGATCTATAATCGATAGCACTTGTAAAACGAAAATGAAGTAATTGCCAGACTCTTCCTGTGAATTGGGATTGATTCAATATAATAATTGTTCAATTTCTTTCAAATTCAAATTTCCTTTTGTGTATTTTCTCAACTTAGTAAACTTTTTATTCAGTTTATTGAATAATTTAACAAAATTATTATCAATTCCATATACACTAAGTCCTCGAAATATATGACATCTTCTAATACGACATTTCAATTTTTATTCGGATTGCGACATTTTTTCTAATACGACATTTAAAATTAAAAAACAAAATTTTTTGTTTTTTTTTAACAGATTTACTGATTTTTGAACAAGAATTTACACCGAATTTAGTTATAAGACAAGCACATGTTTCAATAATGATCTCATTTTAGTTAAAAATTCTAGTAGTTAAAAATACGAATTGAAGTGGTACACATATCAACTTAATCTGATTTAATTTTATTTATTTTTGTTACAAAATTGAATTTTTTTGGTTTCGTTATTATATTTTGTTGTTCAACAGGTGAATTATATTATAAAATGGTTTGTCCAATTCGCTTTTTGTTTCCATAGATTTTTTTTTCCTCCTCAAACGACAATTCGAATTACGACATAAATTTCTGAAACCAAAAGTGTCGTATCTCGAGGACTTAGTGTACTTCAAATTTTAACAGTGACATTTTCTTCTTATGAATTGGTTATTCTGCTATATGACAAATTGAAAAATCCCTATTTCAGTATTAAAATATATTTTTATATATTTGCCTTAATTCTATTAAGTGCTCATTTATTATACAAAATATATTAGTATAAAATAGTTAGAAATTTTTAAATTTAATTCCAAATTTACATTTAAAAAAAACTTCTTCCGTTTTTTTTTTCTTATGAATTAAACATAACATTATGTTCTTAAGGATTTAATGTATTAAATAGAATAACACAACTTCCTATGCTTAAACTTTTTTATATTAAATTATTATTGTAATCTTGCTTTATAAATATATTTTTTTGTATAAAAGCGGACCTATAAAATTTGCTTTTAAATTCTATTTTAATTCTTTACAAACGCTTTAAAATTATTAATTTAATTTAAAGTTTAAATTATTTCAAAATTTCAATATAATTTTTTTATATACAATTTAACATAAAAATATTGTTGTGTTTGTTGCTATAAGTATGTACATACATACATAATAAAATAATGAAATTATGGCATGATGCCTTCATAATACGCTGTCTGTCATTGTTAAATTATTTTCAATAAAGCTTATTTGGCTATAAAAATAAATATGTAGCAAAAAAAAAAAAAGAAAAATTAAAACTACATAATACATACATACATGTGTGCATGTTTGTATGTAAAATTATTATTTCATATTGTATATGAAATTTCCTGGTTCATTTTTAGAAAAAGAATTTATACACGAGACTATAGAATATTATTGTTGGAAATAATAAATTTATTAATAAAAATATACAATGAATATTGGTATTGTTGTGTACATTATTTTTAATAAAGTGTTCTTATAAACATTCGATTCCTCTGACCATTCATCTTTATATCTAATATTTTGAATAAAAAAAAAAAACGAGATTACATACTAAATCTATTTCATTTGCAAGTTAATTCGATTGCATTTCAATTGTAGGGCCTATTTGGATATAGACATACATACATGTTTTTTTCTAAATGATTAGGGGCTTATAATAGTACACTCAAGTTATTCATAGTACACATTTCAAAATATATGTATAATATTCCATTACAAAATCTTTGCCTTTTATATCATGTCTATATGTTTCTAAGAGTTGTATTTCATTTTAAATCTATATATTATGTATATCGGTCCCACATCAGCACAATACGTAGTCGGTTGGTTTCAAGCATTAATTTGACTTATAAGCGAATTTGCTAGTCATGTACGTAGCTTAGTACTCGTAAAAATTTCAAAAATATATACAAAAAAAATATTTTGAGTAAATACGTTTGTACGAGTACTTATATAAGGTTATTGAAATATAGCTATTTAAGACAACTATAATATAATGTCGGAATCGAGTTTTTGTTGAAATTAAAAAAATTTTTTAATTACTTTTTTACATTTTTCCAACTTTCTATACAATTATTGTTCAGAATTATTTATTGAGTTCCACATAATTTCTTTTAATAATTTATTTCATATAAAACGACCGACATAATACATACATAATTCTGTTCTTATGGTTCGACGTCATTCATTTTATTGTTACATAAATATACATACGTACATGTATATATTTTGTGTATGCCGGTTCGTGTTTATATATATAACAAGGAATATAAAATTAAATTAATACAAAAAAGTATAACGTGCTAAATTTTACACAAGCTTTGTTATAATTTTTTATCATAAATATTTGTATATATATAGATTTGTATATATATATATATTAAAAGCAACTTCTATAAATATATGTACATATGTATATTATGTACATATACTTAATGTACGCTATTGTTGTTAAATTAACTTGCGAAAATATAAATAAGTTTAAGCTAGTTTTTATAATAAAATTAGCCTTGATCTTAAAATTGATTGTTAAAATTAATTGAAAAAAAAAACTATAATTCTTTGGGTCAACGATTTTTTTTTTTCGATCAATAATATTAAATTTTTGATTTTCAGCCAATATGATTTTAATTTTTATAAAATACTACAATTTTAAGAACTTTTCTTAAAACTTTTGTTATAAGAAGGTATGAAGTATAGTTTTTATATCTTATTAATAGACAGAAAATTTTATAGTAAGTTTATTATTTCATTTTATGATAGTTCAATGAAATTACTGTTTTAGATCTGCGGGTGCGCAACTTCAAAACCGCAGTAAAGTAAAACGAATAGCGTATACATATTATATACATGCAAATTTACATAAGTATTATAGAGTTATTGCAGCTTTCCGAAACAAAAATACAATAATTTACTGGCAAAAGAAGAGTTTAGTTGGAATTTGGTTTATGTTTGAAATTTGGGTTGAAAAATTATTTGTTTTAAAAAATACGATATAACAAACAGTGCTCTACTAATAACGAAATATATAGCAATTGCTTGTACGTTACTGTGTTTTAAAATGTACTTATTAACAATTATTTTTGTATTTAAAAATTTTAAATTAAATTTTTTGTAAATTTTAAGTTTCTAAAATTTAATTTTGTTTTATTAAATTTCTAGCATATCCTAAAGTGAAATTATTTATAACAATTGGTGGACAACGTGATATCGAAGATGCTATACATCATCAAGTTCCTTGCTTAGGATTAACATTTTCTAGTACAATAGATCATTATTTATTACAAATTGAAAAACATGGAGCAGGTTCAATATCATATTTTGATCAAGATACAACTACAGAATTATTAGCTAAAATTGAAGAATTTGCGATAAAAGACAGGTAAATAAAAATATAATATTAAAAATATAATATATTTTGTTTGCGATAATATTTATACATACATGTACATGTATCTGTACGTATCTATATACATATTCAAATAGAAAGTTATTGATTCAAAAAGCAATAATTAAAACACATATACTTAACTAAGATTATTATTAAAAATACAACATGTATGAATAAATATTATTTTGCGTGCATATAAAAAGCTCGACGTAACAAAAATCTGATTTACCTACTTTGTTATAATCTACGTACTTATATTATAGAGGTAAATCCTATGAGTATGTTTGTACTTAATGATAGTATATGGTAATCATGCAAAAAATTTGAATTGATAAAAGTAATAAGGAAAAAAAATTAGATTTTATAAGAGGCAATAATTATTATTTATGTACGTATTTTTTTTCTTTGCTGGGGGTTTAATGAGTATAGATTAAGTAAAAACTGAAAGAATTTATAAAGAAAAAGGCAAAAAAATAATAAAGCTATATACGTTAACCAATGCGTAAATCTTTCATATAGATGAATATTTTATATCTGTGCTAATTAGTTATACAGTACCTATATAAATGTACTAAAAGAAAAAAATGCGCAATTTTTTGTACGTATTGTACTTATATTATTTGGCCTATAATATTTACGGTAATATATTTTACGCTTAGGAACAAACATAAATTCCGTTTGATCGAACGAAAATTCTTCGGATGTGTATCATGTAGACAATAGAGCCTTAAGTCATCAAATTCTAATCAAACAAAATGCATGAATGTTTTATGCGTAAATCCCGATTTCTTTCTAATGCGTTTCGTACATTATTTACATTATTCTTAATACAAGATGAAACGTACTATAAAAATTTTAAATTTTTGTAATTTAATTAATAAAAATTTTTCTTTTCGTTTTTTTTTGTAGATTTTCAAGCAATATAAAAAAACTACATAATTTAATCAACGATCAACCATTAAGTTCTGTTGAACGTGCTGTTTGGTATATTGAATATGTAATGAGAAATGGTGGAACAAAATATCAAAAAACAACTTGGCGAAATATTTCATGGTTTAATTTTCTACTAATTTATGTTGTCTTAGCTATTATCGTAACCATAATAACATTTGTTGGTGTATTAGTTAAAGTATTTATCGAATGTCGTAAATATTCAAAAAGTTTACCAGTTGAAAAAATTACAAAACGCACATTATTAGCTAAAGAAAAATTGTATTAGGGTAAAAATTATGAAAAAAAAAACAAAATGTGAAATTTTATTAATTTAAGTAAATTTTAATTAAATTATTAAAATTTATTTGTACTGAAACACTCTGATATCTCGCAACATAATGATTATGTAGCATAATATGAGTTCATAAAAATTACAATATGATTTTAGATAAATTCTACGGAAAAATAACGCATTGAAATGAAAAATTTATGTATTTTACTAAATTTTTATACTTTTGTATTGTTTCAGTTGTTTAAAAATAAATTAATTCGTAAATAATAATGTTTCTATAAAAAGATTTAGTGTTACACTGAAAAAATACAAATTTGTGCTTTTGATCCATGTTTTATGGAAACATAAACTGCATTTGAATCTTTTTTACAAGCTAAAACAAAGTATGCAATTACCATTTTGCGTAAAAATTTAGACCAAATGCAGTTATACCGTAAAAATATAAGATATGTAAGATAAAAATACAATTTAATATTAAAGTATAAATTAAATTGAAAATTATTTTGTAATATTGTAAGTTTTAGAATTACAAAAAATGCTGCCATTGTTTGTGTTTTTTTTTTTGTTTGTTTTGGAAATAAATTTGTGGCAATATTGAATTTTCGTTGCCTTTTGTGAAAATCTTGAATGTTGTTAAGTGGCAGTTTACTTTTTATGAAAATAAATAAATATTTTTATTGTAATACACGTGCATAATCAATAAAATTTTTACATAAAAATATTTTTGATATGACGTCGTATATGTATAAAACTATAATAGAAACAATGTACATACATAAATTATGAAAAAAAAACTAATTTTTTTAAGATATGAATTAAAACGGGCTGTTTCTAGAATAAGTTTTTGAAATCAAAAAATTCTATAACTAAATATATATGAAAAATGTAGTTATTTAATAATATTAAATAAGAAAATGTGATAATGTGCCAATTTTAAAAACATACTTCTAAGTGTAATTTTACAAGATTTAAATGGATTTGTTTTAAAAATTCTTTAAGAAATAACAAAACAAAAAGAAAGTAATATAAAAACTATATAAATGTATATAAAAATAATAAAATATTAATAAAAAAAATTTGTTTATAAAATTATAATAACATCTGTTTATTTATTGATAATGTTATGCTTTAAAGATTAACTTTCAAAAATTCTACATTAAAGGCAATAAACATTAAAGCAAAACAGACTGAAGCAATCCAATTCTTAAGCGTCTAAACTTAAAAAGACGAACTAATGAAGCCACCTTAAATAGTTTTTCTTGAGCCTTAAGTAATACTTCGTTGCATTGATAAATTCGAAATTATCTATTACTTTTCAACTATTTTAGTTAATTTGTGGTTATGTATTTGTTAAACAAATACATAGTTTGATTCCTGAAATACATTGCTCGGATTTTTTTTTTATTTATTAATTAAAAACATGAAATTATAAAAATGATAGCTTTATTTTAAAACTTACAGTTCAATTCTATTTACTGAATAGATAATTTTACAAATTTATAAAATTTATGTAATAAACCCATACAGATTACAACAGAGAAAGTCATACGCCACATTGGTTTCAAAACTTATTGCATACTTATTTTAATGTTTTATGGATCGGTTTTATATTCAAATATTTTCCACAAACCTCAAAATAGGGTTAGGTATGATTTACAACATCAAGCCATTTGACAACCATGAAATTGGATGAGAAATTCTGTTGACACATTAAATTTCATTTAACTAAGTATGCAGTCGAATTATATTTTTGTTTATTCATGTAGTATTATGGTATATCTATATATATGTCAAAGTGTAAGTGATTTATTTGCAAAGGAATATAAGCGCAAAATATCATAATAATCGCTTATAAGCGAAAAATATAAATTTAAATCAAAAATAAATAATTTAAATTTTTTATTTCTAAAACAATTAACATATTTTGTTACTCCAAATTCCTTCCCCAACTCCTTATATAATTTTTGTTTTTTATAAACATTTTTATAATCTTTGGATTTAAATATCCAATAAGCATTCATTTTTTTTCGAATGATGTAATAACTTAAACTAGACTGTCGTCAACTAATATTTTTAGAGACATTTTTAATATGAATTTTTTAAAACTTTATAAAACATAATTTAACAAGCTATAAAAACTGAATTTTAAAATTCTAAACTTTGTTGACCATAATAAACAGCTGATAACAGCGCACATAACATGAAAAATATTCTCTCGTTACTTTATTTTTTTATTTCTTTCAAAAAGTTTGATAAGATTCTATTTTTCTCGTTCGATTTTGATTGATATGATTGGACGTTTACACATCAAGCTTTCATAAAATTCAAATAAAATCATAAAACTTTGCTTGATGTGTAAAACTACCTTATAATTTTTGTTGACATATTTCTAGTTGAATATACTTTTGTTAATGCTGAATCTGAACAATAATTTGATAATATTGAAATATATTAGCAAAATTGTGAACACCCTTTAGATTTCATTTTTACCTCTATTTGATTTCCTAGTGTTCTTAAATCGATGTAACGAAGTTGTCACATAAATTTTGACAGCAAACAAATGCTTTGACATTTATTTCTTATCTTTGTTTTTCAAATGGAATAGAAAAGGTCTGGTTTTCTTCAAGAGTAAATCGTTTAATTGTAAATTTTGTTATTTGTAATATAGAAATTATAAAAAAAGACCTAAATAGATTTAAATATATATGTATATAAACATAATATACATAAGATAATTAAGTAAATAAAATCTTTAATTTTGATAACATAAAATAAAAAAATTGAAGTAGGTAAGGCTGAATTCATTGGATTTTGTCCATTTTTTTCAAATAACATGACGTGGAACTTGTACTCAGGTTACATCAAAGGAGCCATACAGATAAGAAAAAGAATATTCTACAACTTATTGTGAAATTCACTGCAGTTTTAATGCATAAGGTACACTTATCATGTAAAACATAAAGCATGTACATAAATCGATTTCTTAGAAAGAGTATTTGAAAAAAGTAAGCAAAATTTAATTAAAAAAAATAAATTTATTAAATCTAACATAAATTTATAACTAGCTACTATTTAACAAATAATAAAATTTAAATTAATATTAGAAATATTAATATTTTAAATTACCTACCTACCTTTACATGCACTTATAAACAAGATATGTGTTAAATGTTTTTTTTTAATTTAGAAATAAAATATATTTCAAATTAGCGAAGTAATTACATATTGATTACATGTTTTTCTTTTATATAATTTTAGGGCTGCTAAACTATTACAGAAATTGGTTCGTGTTTTTTAATTAATTGCAAATTGTCGAGTTTGTGTTTGAGAGTCAGATTGTTTGAGAGTCCGGTTACTGCTAACAAAAAGTGATTTTGAAGGTATGTACCTATTTAAATTATTTATTTCCAACAAGTATTCTTTTATCTGATTGTTGAGTTATAATGAAAAATACATACAAACTATGAAATTTACGAAGAGCCTTATCTGATTTCAGGCATATTTTGAAAGTTCAACATCAGTTTTTGAACATAATTATTTCAGAAAATGTTACTGATATAGTTTTCTATCTATTTATATTATTGTGATTCGAAAAAAATATAATGAAATTGCCTTTTCAGTATTATTGTTGTACCTGTGTTTGTTAATGCTATTTTAAGTCAATATATTTATGTACCTATTTTATTTGCCAAAACGTGAATTTCTATCTGTATTCTATTAAATACAGTGAATGTAATTTTGCTAATAAGATAATACGATATTATTACAATTTAGATATGAAAGTAAACTAGAATCCAGGTTTCACTATAACTACGAAATTTTTATCACAGCTGGGATAGAACAGATGCAGTTATATGTTGAAATTACTTAAATTAAACTTCATTAAATTCAATTCAGGAAAACACTTTGCACAAACATTTTTGCATACAAGTTTAAGAATTTTATTAATATTGGTTCTTTTCTTTTAGTTTATTGTATTCTGTGTGCCTTGTTGTTATTACCAAATTAAAAATGGAAGACAAGTTTTCTGAGCATTCTCTTACTGAAATTTCTCTGGAAGAAGCTATAAGAAATGTAAGCTTTTGAAATATATAATACCAAATACATATTAATAAACTAAATATACATGTACATGTTTGAAATAGCTTGAATTAGAAAATGGTAGTTCGTTTCTAATTTTACAGCAGGAGAACATGACAAAAACTTCAGTGTCAAGATTAAAAGAATTGTTAGATCGACATAACGTGCAACCAAATTATGAATTATTGGAGCGAGCTGGTTGTTCACAATCGTTATTTGGTTATAAAGTGTCAGTTCAATATAAGGGAGTTTACTATTCAGCTACAGGTGATGGTAATTCAAAAAAAATTGCTAAACATGCTGCTGCAAAAGCGTTACTTGATAAATTAGAAAATTTAATTGGTGTTAACATGATCAACGACACTTTTATTGAAGATAGTTCACTAAGTGCAACTTCAAGCAACACCTCATTTTGTGGCTCAGAGGGAAATGATGAACAGTTTCTACAAAAAAAATTTGATCTCTTAAATTTATCTTCGTCTGCTGAAGACATTACTTCGAATGATGAACAAAACGTAAGCAAATATTGTATTATTTGATTATATTGGCTGTATTTGAATAAAATATTTACTTAAATAATTGTGATGTAGTTTAAAAAAAGTTATGATCTTTGCAGCAAGATACTTCAAAAACAGAACCTTCTTCGATTTTATTGTTACAAGATTTATTGGCTCGTCATAAAATCGTGCCAAATTATGAATTTCTTGGCTCTGAAAGTACCGCGGATAACTCTAACGTCCGCTCTCGTGTAACATTTAACATTGGAAAAAATAACTTTACTGAAATAGGGATTGGGGATACGAGAGAAAATGCCAATCAGGCCGCTGCAAAATCTTTGATAATCAAAATTTGCTCAATTGCGAAAAATATCGCTAGAAAAAATTTAGTAGAATGGCCCGAAGAAACGAAATTCTTTGAGTAAAACATTTAATCAAATTTAATATTTTAACTATAATAAATTATATATTTCACATTTCAGAACTACAGAGAATTCAAATAATACGAATGTTTTTGATGTGACGGCTTCCCAAATAGATACTACGGAATTTTTTTCTGACTCCACTAAAAAGTAAGAAAATTTGCTGTTTTTCTTAAATTATCTATATATATGCACAAACATATAAAGCGAAGTACTTTATGTTAATGAATTTGAACCGAAAAAAAAAAACAAAATCAAAATTTGACAAAAAGTATTTTTGAAATTGCAAAAAATCTTAGTCCTATAACAATTTCCAATATCGTATTAGTACTTTTTTTATGTATGAGTTTCATTTTATTAAAATACAAAACAAGATTAAAGTTTTTTTAATTTTTTAGATTCTCAATTGATACAAATATTGAGGCTAATCCTATTGGAAAACTACAAGAATTATGTGTAGCAAGGCATTCGTGCCTACCAACTTATGATGTAGTGAATGTAGAAGGATTACCGCATCAAAAACAATTTACGATTGTTTGCAAATTAGGACAATTGAATGAGATCGGCTCTGGTCTTAGTAAAAAAGAAGCAAAACGTAGAGCAGCATTTAAAATGTTGAAAAGATTAAAATAGTATAATGTAGACTTTTTTGAAGTCATGTAAATGTAATTAATTTATAAATGTTACCAATTTTTTGTTAAACTGTTATATTAACTAAATTATTTGTGAATATAAATGAGATATTTTTTTCTCTCTTGTACTGTTCCTCTAATCATGAGTGTACTTATGGAGGTCTTTATGGAATTTTTAAAATTCCTGTGATGTAATCATATCTTTCGTATTTGCTCTTTTTTTTCGGAAAAAAAAAATAGTTACAAGTTTATTGAACTAAAACAAAACATTTTTTTTCAATATAGTTGTAAGCTTAGAAAAAGCTTTATATTTTTTTTCTAACACCATTTTCTTGTACGTTTTTTATGCAAGAAATAAAAAGAAAGAAATGAAGTGTTGAAATATTAGGTGTTGAAGTATTTATAAATATTTTGTAAAATTCAATAAAAAGCACTTTTATTAGCAGTCATTCATTATAATGCGATTTATTAGTGTACTACCTTATATAATTTCTATTCATAGTCATGGTTTAGAAATGCGTCAGGAATATATTTTCTAATAAAGCAGCTTAATAATTTGAATGTAAATCGTTGGAAACCCATATGCATTGTGTTTTTGTATTTTAACAGCTAATATCAAGTTCATATTACCAAATATAAATTTTTATAATTTTATATTGTGATTGTGCTGTGCTAATAACTATTTTTAAAAATTCTTTGACTTAATTTAAAAGGAATTTTATTAAAAGTAATATGATCTTAACGAATTGTAGACTGTTTCGAAGCACATGTAGATATTTAGAAATTTTAAGAATTTCAGCCATAAATAAAGGAAAAATCTGAGATTAAAGCTTAAATAAAATAAATTTTCTTTGTTCTTTTTTAATTAATTTTTTTTTTATAAAACTAAAAAACATAATTATTTATTAATATATTTTTCATATACCTATTAACATTATTAACAAACAAAGAGTATACATGCATCTAATTTATTTTTTTTTTTGCTAATTAATATACATATATTAAAAATACATAAACATTCTTTTATAATATTTACCAATATTGCATAAAAATTTTAAAATTTTAACATTAAGTTTAATTTTTGCTTTTTTTTTTATTATTTTTTTTTGCTTTTTAAACTTTTATAATCGAGTGAGATTTAAATTTGAATTATTCTTTAACATATAATTTATTTTATTCGGTAATTAAAATAATATTACTGAATAAAATAAAATATTCGTTTAAGAATTTTGTTTATTAGTATTTTTATAATTAATTTTTATATATTGTATATATAATTTCTGTAATATATTTTATAAGTTTTATTATATAATAAATATACAATTTTAAATATTTACAGTGCTTTTAATATGTATTTTAATTTGAATCCTTATTTGAATTTAGTTGAAAAACAAAATTTTTAAATATCATTCTTAATAATTCTAAAATTTTATTATTATGACTATAAAGGAAATGAGATGTTCCCATTAAAAATTTATGTGAATGAAAATTGAATTTAGAAAATTTTAAAGAGATTTAATTATATTTTTCTATGTTTTTCATAAATATGATTTTAAAGTTTTTCTAGAATCGTGTTATAATATTTAAAATTTAAAGTGTAGGCATAGTGCAATTTAGTGATCAATTAATTTCTAATAAAAATATAATAAATATAAATTTTATATTTATCGAATATTTGTTTTTTTTTTTTATAAAATGTATTTTCCTCAGTTAATTTAGGTGCACGAAGACAATAGAATTCAACGAAAATAAAATTGATTATGCTTTAGCGATCACATAGTACAGTACGAAATTCAACAAGTTATCAATAAATTTTTAATTAATTAATGAAAGTTTACTAAATTAATATTGTAAGTTCATTGAATACAGTATCCCGATTTATGTATGTGTTCTTATGATATGAGAATATTTACCAATAAATTATTATTATTTTGTTTGGTTTTTTTTTTTTAAATTATAAATTTCAAATTTTTGTTAAGTTATCGAGCATCTATTTAGCAATGGTTAATTGCAAATTAATTTGGAATTAAATTGTATTCATGAACAAATCAATTTTAGCTCTAGATCTGTATTTTGTAAGATATTAAATGTAAGAATATAAACGAGTATATTTAAAAATTTTAATTTTATTTTTTGCAGCTAAGATAAAGTCCTAAATAAATCTACGTTTACGATGATTATCAATTCAATATAATCATAATATGAAAGAACTACTTTATAGCATCCACATGTATAATCTTATTCTTTTAAATAAATCTTTATTATAATATACATACATAAAATCAATTGAAAGGGATTTTTAATATGATTTCTATTATAGTACTATGAACAAAGTAGCATATTGTGTTTTAATGTAATAATAATAAATTTGTGAATAATAATATCATAATAATCATCTACTTCTATTACTTTATTTTACATATTGCTTATTTTTTTTTCCATATTTTAAAAATTATACTTAAACATCACATAAGTGTCTTAATAACTAAAAACAAAATTTAAGTATATAAAATTATTGTTAGAGAAAGAATTTTAAAATAAAAATTCTTAAAACGATAGTAATAAGTTATAGCGATTCATTGATGCAATGTAAAAAAAAAATTGGTGCCTTGAAAACAAAAATAGTTAATTTAATTTTCATTTAATTCAACGGTGGTTCATTAAACCACAAATATTTTTATTGAACCGATATATAAATCGGAACGTATCCTTTTTTAATTCATCTGAAATTCTTTTTTTACATTACATCTCTTTCTTTTTAAGACTAATTTACAAAAATATTAAATAATTACATTTTAATTTTTAATAATTGTAATTTACATTTGATTATTTTTGTTTTTTTTTTAATTTTTTTTTTTATTTAATGTATTTACATTTATGTATATATATATTTATATATGAATTTTTTCTAATTTCTAAGTGAATTTTCCATGTTTATTTATTTAATTAATTTCCTCTTAATATTGGTTTTTTGATGATATTGATATGTTTGAGTGCAAGTCATATTGTGAATTAGTCGAGCGCTCTAAGACGTTTAGGTTTTTTCACATTTTACTTCTAGTAATCCTAAAAAAAAATAATTTAATTAAATATCAGATATATTACATATAAGTGAAGTATACACAAGTGACTAGATATACAATAACTTTAACTATAAAGTTATAATTTCTCTTTAAATCTATTTGTATAAAACAAAATAATATTGAATTGCGATTTCATTAAATATTTGAAATATCTTACCAAAGTCTCATCCATTTTAATTCTATTAATATTATATAATTAAAAAATATTAATTTTTATTGAACAATTTCTAATATCCAAGGAACAAATTTTGATATTCTAGTACAAACTCCAGGTAAATTTGCTTCAGCACAACCAATACCCCATGATATAATTCCGGCTAAAAAATATTTTCCATCCTGGCCTTTGACCTACGAACACGAAAAAATTGACATTTTGTTAATATAATTTAAATATCATGACAAATGAATATTTTTAATTTCTGATCACTTGAATAATATTAATACCTGTAATGGTCCACCAGAATCACCTTGACAAGAATCTTGACCACCTGTATCATAACCAGCGCATAAAAATATATCTGGAATAAATTCTTGTCTTCCAGCTCTAGCAAACATCATTTTACAACGATCATTACTGACAATTGGAACCGAAACCTAGTTTTTTTTTTTTTTAATGTTTAATAGAAATTTTAATTATTAATAAATTTATATTTATATACATATATATTTTTAAAACAAACCTCTTGTAATACTGATGGTAATGTACCACCTTCACTTAATCTACCCCATCCAGTTACAGTTGCATTTTGCCCAATTAATAAATCATTTGTTGCTGGTAAACAAATTGGACTAACATGTGGTGCAAATTCTAATGATTGTTCCAATTTAACTAATGCTAAATCATATTCATATGTAAAAAAATTATATTTTGGATGTACAACTTTTGTTGCAACGCCACGTTCTATATATGGTAGTTGCTCTTGAACATGAGAGAAATCATATTCACCAACTCGAATCCGTATTTGTGACGTCAATAAACTGTATTATATTAAATAAGGAATGAAATATAAAAAAAAAAAGAAAAATAATTATTATAAGAAATTATAAAAAAAAACAAATAATTGTGTAAAAATTAGTTTTATATGTATCTATTACAAATGGGAATGTGTATGTACATAAACAAATGTAAAATACAATGTGCGAGTTGCGTGTTGAACATGTTGTTAATATGTACATATTTAATGTCGTAAATACATAATTTTTAACAAGATTACATATTCATATTATTGGGAAAATCTATTTGATGAAATGATTAAATGCAAAAATAGAAAAAAGAAAATAAAATACAAAATTCAAGATGACTTAAAATAGATGCTGAAAAATCATAAGAAAAGTCATTTTCTACCAAATATAGAAATTAGAAAAAAAAATAGAAATAAATTAATAAAAGAAAAAGTTGTCCTTTTATCGTTTTATTCAATCATCATTTTCTGAAAATTATTGCCAATTTTCCATCTTATTATAATCTTCTCTATAAATGCACAGTGGTATTTAACCTTTTTCATCGGAAGTCAATAAAAAAACTCATTATGTTCGTCATCTGACATTGACAAAATTCATTGACATTCTCATCGTAAATTAAATTTTAAAACTTTAAAAAATGCATAAAATTTTAAGGAGATAAATATCTCTGTGGACCAAAGAATTTCGTATGAATTGTTTTGCATAAGCAAGAGCGACCTCATTCATTTCTAATTTTTTCACACTGACTCAGTGTTGATATTGAGTATAAAATAAATCAGATTGTATAAACTTGTCACCTACATTATTATCAAAAACAAAAATTAGAATATTTTCGAGTCGTTACATGTTGTAAATTGGTTGAGAATGTTGAAATTTGTTGTTTAAAGATATCAATGTTAAGCTCTTAAACGACATATGTTTAAGACTTACCGTGTGGGTGCGAATCATTTGTATTTTCTTGTACTTTCGGAATTTAAAATGTACACAAAAAAGTACAATTGTGGGGTATTTGTCAAATGTGCTCTGTAAAGAACGACCAAAACTGCATTTAGTTTTTATTTTGAAAGTAAAAGTTTGTATGTATGTATGAAGAATACAAAAAATGTGTATAAGTAATAAAAATCATTTTACTTTTGATGTCGTATTCTTTTATAATCAAAAGCTTTGATTCTCACTGAGTTTTCGAGAAAGAAAATTCATCCCTCCCATCATAACATGAAAATTGCACATGTAATTAATTCAGAAATTATCACTTATAAGCTGAATTATTATTATTAATGGAGTATATGTATAAATTAGTTGTTTTTAAATGACAGTTTCCGATAAATTTTTCAGTAGGTACTCTACTCTTAATAATTTCAACAGGACATTCGTAATAAGAATTTTCAATGGATCATTGAAAATTATTTTTTCTCAAAAATTTTGACAAAAATTCCCTCTATTGACAAATAACCCAAATAAACTTCAAATATTTTTTCTATTAAATAGGTACACCTATTCAAACTTTAAAAGTACCAACTTACTAATTTTGGCGGCACACAGATTTTTAAAGTATACAATGACTTTTAAAATCTGTGTGCCGTCAATTTATATTTAATTTTTTTTTTTGCAATTTCCATAATTAAAAATACAATATCTTTCTATATACATATCGAAAAAGTAATTAAAAACCTTTTATGGCTAATTAGCTTAATAGATTTTCTCGTCATCAAAATATTAGTACTATAAATATAAATATGTACATGTGAAAATGTAAAATATGTAAGTACATTTGTGATTATTATCTTGTGAACATGGAATATCAACACTTTTACTATAAAACCAATTGGAAATTTAAATTTTTATGTTTGATTACCAAACTATAATTTATATTTAATATTTTTAACTTTTCCATCTTGTGTGGAATCCAAAAAGCTTAGATTTTAATAATAAGACTAAAACATAAGCCTGAAATATCTGTACGAAACATACTTATAGTGAATTTACATTTCGATATTATTAAACATTTGAGTTTGAATAAAAAATTGATTTACTCATCAACACAATGTCCAGCTGTTGCAATCCAATTTTCATTAATTAAAGCTCCACCACATCGATGTGTACTAGAAAATCCAAAGAATGATGTTCTACGAACAGAAACTTGCCATGGCCATCTTCCAAATGGTGCATTTTTACCACCTACAATTCTCGTTTCTGGACGAGTAAAAAGTGATGGTACACCACAATCTTAAATTGAAAATGGGAAAATGAAAATCATAAATTAATTTTTTTTTTCTCATATTCTAAAAATTTATTTAATATGAGGTAAAAAGATTTTATATACCTGTTCGAGCAGCTGAAAGTGTTGGTATTAATGGTGGTTTTGATGGATCATTTATTTCATTTGTTTCAATTGCTGATGATATTGTACTAGATTTGAGATCATCGGTAACTGGAATTGGTTTTTTATCAATTATATTAGAAATAATTTGAATATCAGTTGTAGTTTGTTGTCCAGTTAAATTAGATATAGTTGATGTTACTGCTGGAATTGTTGTTATTGGTATAGTTGTTGTTGTTGATGATGTTGTAGTTTTAGGTTTAACTGTTGTTGTTGACGTTGTTGTTGTGGTTGATGTTGTAGTTGTTGTAGTAGTTGTTGAAGATATTGTTGTTGATGGATTATTTCTATGCGTTGTAGTTGAAGGGGTAGTTTTATTTCCAGAAGTTGTACTAAAAGAATTTACATATGTTGGAGGTGGTCTATAAGTTGTTGAATAAGTAATTGATGGTGGAAGTTTTGGTGTTGTAAATGATGCTTTTGTTGGTTTTGGATAAAATATCTGTTAAAAAAAAGGTATTAAAATTATTTTCAATATGAAAAATGGACGAAAATTTAAAAAAAAAATTTATTTATTTTATTTATACTTGAGGTTTAGGCTTCGTTGTGTTCGGTTTTTTTGTGATTGTATCGTAAGAACCACTCGATGTTAAAATTTCAAATGGTCTGTCTATGAAAATTGGTTTTTTTGTTGGTTTAGGAGGTTTTGGTCGTAATGATGATGGTTTTTCCCATAGTGGTGGCCTAGGTTTTGTTATAAAATTCGGTTCAGTTGTCATATGCCACTGAGCTGTTTGTGGTGATGTATTAAAAATACCTATTATTATAATATAAATAAATTAAATATAAATTTAAATTTTTTAAAATAAATTCTTACTTCCGCCGCCAACGCTAGCTGCTGTTTCTAAATCATCTACTGAATTTGTTAGACTAGGATTTTTAATTGTTGTACTACTTACTACATTATTATTGTTAAAAAAGATTGGCTTTTGGTGTATTATTGACGATGAAGATGCTGATGATATTAATTGTGTATTAGGTCTTTGATGACTTAAACCTGAAGGTCTTATAACTAATGTACCAGCACCATGAGGACGTTCAATTGTTGTAAGTCCCCTATAAAAATTTAAATTACTATAGATTTTCTATACCATTTTAAATAAAATAATTTTTTATTATATTTACACAATACTCGATGGTTTATGTGGAATATTTGGTGGTTTAGGTCTAATACCGGTTAATGGTTTTGTTGGTCTTGTATATGCAAATGCTTGAGGCATAACAACATTTTCTGTTATATTATGGGAACAACATGAACCGAACATAAATGAATCAACACACATTCCAACATGATGACCTTCTGAACGAATACATTCCCAAACGAACATGCATGTACCATCAAATCTGCCCACACTACATGGTTTTGGACTAATTTTAAAATTTTGGCTAGTATGAAAATTATTACTATAATATTGTGAATTTTGTTGTGGTTGATTTAATTGATGTAAAGGTTGTTGTTGTTGCTGTTGTTCTGCAGGATTTGAATTTATATAACGATTTTCTGACAGTGAATTTTCATAATGATGTTGTGTTTGATGATGATGATGATATTGGTTATGATATTGACTAATACTATCTCTATTATAAATTCTACCAGCGCTATCTAACGCTGTTATATCAGCTAGAACTCCCACTATTTTAAATTTACTTAAAAAGAAATTATCTAAGGTGATTTGATATACTAAAATGACTAGAATTGTGACCAGCCATCTACTCCACCACATTGTGGAGAAGACTGTATTTCCTGTAAATAAGAAATAAAATACATTTATTAATTATTTTATTTACTACATTAGTTAGTATGTATTCCAATCCAATAGGTATTATAGATGGTCTATTATAAACTAAAACTGTTTTTTTTTTATATTTATACATATATGTAATGTAACAAGTTTTTTTATAATGCAACTATGTTTTGAAAAATTGAACTTTAAGAATAATAAGAAAAGGTATTATTAAATTGTCTTTCACAATTTTAGTTACGGTCCATATATTCCACAACCTACGGCCATGTTATGTATGTTCTCATACGTTTTTGTATCTCAACAGTAGGAGAAATAATTAATAAAGGGACATATAAATATAAAAAATTTATTTGTACTATTTTTTGACCAAAATACCATATCGTAAACCGCAGAATCAAGCCGTATTGTATTTTTCGAAAAAATTTGTATATAGCAGTGATTCTTAAAGATATTTTATATAGATCCCCAAAAGTCCATGAAGGCCTGCTACAGGTCTACGATGATGAAACAAAAAATGGTTGTCTATCATCCTCATACCTAAGAAAAGGATTTTTTTGGCAATATTAACTGAGGATATTTGAGGTTAAACCTCACTAAATTAATCGCAAACGTTGATAATTTATTATAAAACTATCAAACCCATCCCTCCCTAATTAAATTATTTTTATTTTTTATAAATATGTGATAATGTTGACCGGAAAAGCAAGTGATACGTAAAAGATCGAACCTATTTTTATTTAGTTTTGCTCATGTAAGAATTACTTTACTGTTATTTAAATTCATTATCTAAATTAATCAAATTTAATAAATTTAAATTTGATCTATCAAAGAATGTAGGAGGGGGTCTACCAAAAATTAAAAATCACGACGAGGAGTGTACGAGAGAAAAAGGTTTGGGAGCCTCTGGTGTACTGTTTCTGTATGAAATTTTTTTTAGGTATGTCAGTTTCAGTATTTAGAGCTTTTGAAGTCAAAAATAAAAGAATATAAGGGCTTCCCTTAAGGGAATAATATTTTTTTATTAATTTTTTGAAATTTGCATAAATTTCTGTATAACAAAATTAGAAACAATTATGTACAAGTATATATACTATTGGCGAATTAACAACTCTATTATATTCTATGAATTTATCCTAGAGTCAAGCAAATTATTAAATTGTTAAATGATTTTTTTACACACAAAATTATTATTTAATCCACTTAACGAAGTTGATATAAAAAACAAAAATCTTAATAAATTTACCGTTTATAATTTAATAAACATACATATATACTCTCGTATCTATATGAATTGGATAATATCGATCAATTTTTTTAATCGTATATACGCAATTGGCGGCATCATTAAAAAGCATGTTAGCCGTACATTAGAGAAAATTGAAAAAAAAAAATAAGAATAAAAATGGAAAAAAATTTTAAAGATTTTCGCTTGTTTTTTTTTTGCTTTTATGGTACTATCGCTATAATATTGAACTAGAGTTGAATGAAGTTAAAATCAAGATATTTTAAGACGATACAAAATTGATTTTTGACCCCCAAAGAAGAGTTTATAAAAAATAGAATATAGTAAAAGGTTTTAGATAATAAAAAAATATAAAATTTATACCTATAGAATAATTTATTAATTATTTATTGTTTTTATGGTAAAAATTAAGGAAATCATTGCCATTATATTAACTATGGTATTATAATTTTAATTGAATTCAATATAGAGCAATTAAGTTAATTTAGAAATTATAAGTAGAAAAAATAATTTTTAAAAATTTAATTAACACACAGGATATGATTACAAGTAAATTAATTAAAATATATAAAATTGAAAGTATATAAAAGAAATTATGCTTTAAGAGCTTGATAATTTCTATTATAGAATAATTATGGCTGACCATTTTTATTATAACAAAATCCGGGACAAAATGGTGCTCAGAATATTATATGGAGAACATACAAATATACATACGTGTGAGTAAAAAATAAATTTCGAAAATATCTAACTAATCAGTTTAACTTATGAAAAAACTTTAACACATTTAAGAAGGAAAATAAAAGAGTGGCGTAAAAAAACAAAAATAATATAAGAATAATTAAGTCGCATAACTAAGATATAAGTCAAATTAGGACAATTTCGAATTTATTCAATGTAATATGTTCATTGTAATATTTAAATCAATTCTATAAATTACAATTTTTTCGAATTGAAAACAAAAATTTGACAAACTCAGTGACTTCCGAGAAATTGTTATACTATAATATTAATGTCGAACATAGGGCTTCAATTCAGAATATTTGTCCAAGAGAGTTCGAAATCTATCCTATATATTTAAATAAGAATTGAAAATTTTGTGTTCTTAATTTCAACTTATACAGGTTGTTTCGCATAAAATCAGTTGTCGAAGTTAAAAGAATCATCCCTAAAATTATTTGCTATCTTATGTTAAACATCCTGTATAGCTCTATATAACTCTTTATTTGCTATTATTAAATATCCTATAGTAAGGCAGTTAAATATTTAAATAAAAAAAATCTAATCAAAGTGAATTGAAAGTTATTATTAAAAATTAATTTGATGTCTTATTTTCATTAGTAATTACAGTTGGTTACTTTTCATATACTTAGTGTTGTACCATTATGACGATAACTTATTAGTACTATAAACACAAGGCAAAATAATTTTGTAATTGAAGTTTAAGTTTATGATTTAAGTATTTTCCGCTCCGATGTGTGTCAATGTTTTCATTTACAAATTTCAATTCTTGTCATAATGTCAATGTATCAATTTTTCATTATACGTAAGTATATATGTATGTATTATCCATTTCTATTTATGACATTTAACAATATGAGGAAATATTATTGTGTCTATTAAATTTGTTTTGAAAAAATATTAGTACAAAAATTTTTTATTAATTGTATATTTCAATTATGTTCTCGTACATTCTATACACATATGTATATACATATCTATGTATTAAAAATTTATTAAGAATCTGTTTGATCGTATTTTTGATACATCTCTATAGTTGACATTTTGATACATCTGTATAATTTTGATATATCAGTACATTTTGTTTCTGGTTAAGATTCAATAAAATTTCGAACTCTAAGGTATCTTTGAAAATACACATATGTGCCTTTGAACAAAATTATTCTATAAAAAAATTTTAACTACATTATTTTATGGTTATTGGAATGATACGTCGTATGCCCAACGACCCTTAGCGGAAAATCCTTGGCAGAATTTGTTAAACTGTTTAAAATGATATTTTCGTAGACCAATCTGCATGCAGTACAGAATTTAGCATAACCAAATTGTTAATGAGCATTTTCAATTCAAGAGCGCCGAGTAAGAGTTCAAGTAGCAACCGATGTCACTAATTTTATTTAGAACTCGAATCAAAGCAGGAATATATTATTATTATTATTATGCATATAATATACATACATATATGTATGTATAAATTTTATATTGAGTCGAAATTTGAATATAGCACCACCTCTTCTCTTTATAAACATACATATATAAAATTATAACAACAAAAAAATAAACAACTCACCTAAATTCGGCATTCGTTTGAGACATTAATCCAGATTAAATTCATAACTGAAAACAAAAAGAAAACGAAATTTTATTAATTCGAATGAGTTCTGTAAAAAAATTTATTTGAAATTTTAAATGACACTCAATGAAAATTTTTAAATTTTTGTTTTGTTGATAAAAATTTGATTTAATCACATACATCTAACAAATTCATCAATTTAACTACGTCCTCCTATTGGAATCTTAATTTTTTACATGAATTTTAAAATACAACAATGTTTTTCGAACATAATTTTGGCAAAAGAGTAATTTCAAATTGGCATAAAATATAATAAGGTCCTTTTTTATTTTTGGCCCTTTGTACGGATTATTAGACGGCAAGGAAGGTGTTTATCAAAATTTTATAAATTTATATTTTTTACTATAAAAATCCAAATGTACTTTTCTAGGAATTTATAACAATGCAAAAATTAAAATCATTTGGCGAAATGTCAATGGACAAAGCCAAAATTTTCAGAGAGATTTTGCAACTATATTTTTTGTGAATATTTAATTTCTACTGATAATTATAAATTCGGTTAATGAGTATTAATTCAATTTTTTAGACTATTAATTGATTCAAATAATATAGGTGCGTATATAATAATCCCAATTTAATATACTAAGACAATATATAACACGAAACAGCTTCTAAACCTTTCTATTTAATTTGAGTTGTTGTGAATGTGTACACAATTACACATACTGATTAATGCTCCATTTAAAAACAAATATTGTTAATTTATTATTTAGGAAAAAAATATTTTCAATAACTATGTCAACTATATCTTAATATCTTAATAGTGATGTCAATTTCTCCCCTTCAAAAATTTCATATTAATAAAATGTATAACACATAATAAGCGTTTCCATCAATTACCATTTTTATTATATTTTATATAAATAAGTCTGTTATAACAAGTATTAAGATTAATTTATTATTATTTTATTATATATTTTTTCCCCAATATATTTTTTTTTCCACTTATAAGCATAACTAATCCTCTTTCCGCTCCAAATTTTTAATAAGCAAGAAGAAAAATATTAAAAAAAAAAATCAAAAAAAATCAACAAGAAAAATTCTTAAGGTTGATTAATTACAACGACATTTTCTTAACATTACCTTCAACTTCTGACGTTTAATTTGTTATTTTTTTGTTTTTTGTTTTGTTGCTTTCTGTTGTATGTGCTTAATTTTTTTTTAATTTAAAAAATTATAAAATTAAAATAATGACAATGAAATACCTTCATAATGGAGGAAGAACAGAGTAAAACTAACTCAATTGATGTGCAGGCATTATAGAGTGGACTATATAAGAGTACAAGCAAACCTTCAGTCTTATTAAGGCCCTAATCGTGTATCTCACTTTTTCTTCTCACTTTTTATTCACTTTTAAATCAGAATTTTCAGTTTTTTTTTTTAATTTTTCCTCCAAAATTACACATTTTTTCAATTTTTCACACAAATTGTTCAAATTTCAAAAATGTTATTTCCAAATTGTTCAAATAAATTGAACGTCTCACCTTCAAAAACCAAATGAATTAATGTTTTGTACATTTAAAAAAAACGAGATACCTAATACGAAGTAATAATTTTTCTCACTTACATCATACAAATACACGTATATGATAGTTACTCATTTGATTCTAACTGGGAGAGTAAAATAATGAGATTACACGATCAGGATATAAATCTGCAGTCCAATATTTGTATAATAGTTATTTCTGATAGCTTAACATCAGAAATAAGTGTCATTAACTTGTCATTTGAGTTACGTTTGCTAAGCACGCATTCAAATAAATTCAACAGTAACAGTGACCATAAAAATTCTGTTGAGTGGGTGATGTAAATTCGGCAAACATTCGAGTTATAATCTTTTCGTCTGCTACTTGATGAACAAGGAAATTTTGCTTAATATACCTTATTTTGCTAAACAGTGCCATTATATTTTCTATTCAACTCACAGAAATTGTATAAATAAGATAGTTTAAAACTGTTATAATTAATCAAATAATTAAGAAACAATTTTGGTCAATATAACATGAATTTTTTGAGAATAGGGAAAATAGGAAATTTTTAATAAGAAATTTTTTAATTTTATGCTATCGAGATATAATAGTCTGAAGCTTAATTAACAAGCTGCAACTTAAATTAATTTCCAATAAATACTAATAAAATTTTAAAAATATCTTATAATTGTCATATACAACTCTTTTTTCTATTGTACATTTATTCTATTTATCTTCCTCCTGTCAAATATTCATGTAATCTTAAAGTAAAAAATTTTACATTATGAGCAGGCACAAATACGAGACTTACATATTAATATGATATACGGAATACGGATATAAAAAATATTATGTTTGTATATTTATACGTACATATGAACATACATTTACCAATAATTTTCAATGATCTATTAATTTCCTTTATGATACCTATAAATTCCCTTCTTATAGAAACTAGGTTAGTAAGGTGAGTGATTTTGTTTATTGAATACATTCATATACATTTATACATCAATAATTTTTTTTTCTATTTTCTTGTATTTCTAATTTACAGGTGAAGAAAACGATCATAACAAGAAGCAAAAAGAAGGCAAGAAAAGAAAAAAAAAAACAAACGTTAAATAGAAGAAATAACTAAAATCAATTTCTTTTCCCAATTTCTTTAACATTTTGCTAATATGTATGTCTGTATGTATATACATATGCACATATATTTAAGTACGTATATAGATTCTATTTGTTACCGAATCCAACCTATTTGTGAATAGAAAACGCCTTAATGTCTTGTAAGAATTATTGGACAATCAAGTGGCGCGACTCATATTCATATAGAAAGAACAAAAATAAAACAACTACAAAAAAAAAATGAAAGAACATAAAAATTTCAAAAGATTAAATCAAAAACAAAGAGTTAAAAGAGAGAAAAGAATAAAAATAAAAGCAGAAAATAAAAGGTAAAAAAAAAAAAATTTTGTTAAGCTTTAAATTGCCATATAATGCCCAATTCAACAATGTCTGAGGCTTTATAGATTGTGAAAAACTTATTAAAAAAAAAGTTTTTCGAACATGATGACTTGAAGGTTTCTTTTATCTTTTCTTTTTTTTTTTAATTTTTCACATTAAAATTTTGAATATTACAAATATTAGTAATGAAATATTTAATTTTGAGTGTTCTTTCTGTCAGTTGTGCTGTTTTATGTATAGTATAAGAGTTGCGGAAATATAGTTGGAGTTCGAGTTATCAGAAATTTAAAATTTTAAAAAATTTAAATTGGTAGCATTCAAAAATTGAAATAGGGGTCGGGTTCGAAATCAGGATCGGAGAATTTTAAACATCGGAGAGTAAGTATTGCAGTATTTTGCCGGCCATTCAGGATTCACACAGAACTGGTTTCATAAAGTTTATAAATTTTATAATTATTTAAATTAAGGAATTCACCGCAATTGTAATGGTTGGTATTAAAATAGTGCTCATACTGTCAGATAGCTGGATTCATATCATAAGAACCTCATTATTTTCAATTCATTTGAATTATTATTTGGGAAGAGTTAAGCAATAATTCAAATAATTTAAATTCCATTTAAAATTATTTCTTAGGAAAATTGAAAATTCTAAATTTGGTACTCTTGAGTCAAGAGACGTAAATACAATTACTGTTTGCCTCTAAATCATACCATTTTGATGAAATTTTTGAATATTTTATTTTGAGGCAATTTGATTTATGACTGCAATTTTGGCCGTATTGTTTATGAAAAATTGATTATGTTCTATAATAATGTTACGTGTATATTTTATATTGACTTGAATTTGACTTAACTTGACTTGACCAAATGGGTTTGTTGTATTTATTTTGTTTTTTTTTTGTTTTACGTTTTACATGTGCCAGTGTTATAATTTTTTTTTCTGCTGTTGCTGTAATCTTTTAGCCTTTTGGTTGATTAACGATTATAAGAATAAAATTGAAAAGAGAAGAAGCATAGATAAAAAAAAAAAACAAAGTAACTTTTTCTGACATGAGAATAAAGCCGACAACACTTTTTATTCTTACATATAGCTATTATGTATATTGCTTTTGATAGCATTTTTTTTTCATCTTTTTGATTCATATTATTATAATCGATGAGAAAAGATATAAGTACATATTATATGAATGTGTGTGTATGAAAAGCATTCAACCAAAATAACTACAAATTCAACTTGTTGTAAGTAAATCAATAAAACAAAAAAAAAAAACGAAAAAATGAAAAAATGATCGTATTATTATTTAATAATAACAGTAACAAATAAATAATAACAATATCATTAATGATAATAAGTGAGAGAAAAGAAAACAATGTTGGTATTTAATTATGGTTCATAGTACAAACAAACAAACAGTAAATTGTGATAATAAATTAAAAAAAATAAGAATATTAGAAGCTGGTGAGGTAATGATATATTAATCCGCCTATATTTTGTAACTTTTAACTTTTAAATAAGTATGTGCATGCATTGAAAATCAGAAATCTTAATTAGTTCTAGGTATATTAGCATTAAGTAAAAATTAAGAAAAATTTATGCAAATTTGGTGATTTAAGAATATTTTAATAATTAGATAATAAAATCATTTAATTGCCACTAGTAGGTTAGGTTAGGTTGTCGCGGCTCCCCGTAGGGTACACATAGGCCAACAAGGCCCGTTGTGGTACCGCCGGATCTCTTCCCTCCCGCTCCTCATCTGAACCAGCCCGAACTCCTCAAAAATCGGTTCAAATTCCTAACGCTTTCATTCGCTAAGTCCGTAGCGTGCCCGAAGAAGTAACAATTAAAATTAAAAGAAAACAGTTAAAACTATTCACCTAAATTTTTAAGACCACTAATTAGAATAATTTCATTGTGTATAAAATAAGATGAATTCCATCTCATAAGGGCCATACTAAAATTTATACGACTTTCTGATACGATTTTTTAATTTTTTCAAAAATTCAAAAATTTCAAAAATTTATACGATTTTTTAATTTTTAATGATTTTCAC